ACTTAAAAGATTTACGTTTCGGAAATTGTTTCAAAAGAAATTTAAAAAAGTGGCTACATTCTATATCTAGGACTGAAATTCATAAACTCATAAATACGAACATCAACTAAATACATAATCTACTGTAGCTAATTTTTGTCCTTTTTTGTCATTTGCATTCTACAGTTTCAACTTAAATTTATTGGTCCATGTACAGGCGATGCCTTCTATTGGGCCTGTTTTGATTTTATATTTATTTACTCATATTGTTTGTTATCTTTGTACATTGAGTGAATAAATATTATTATTATTATTATTATTATAGAGGTGATGCAACCTGCAATTTGAGGAAACATTTGAAGGCGAAGCATTTTGCGGTAATAACGCATCTTTCGTCTCCTTCGTCTTTAAGAACATCTGCGGAGTTAGAGGAACTACCCGAACCATCAACTTCTTCTACACCTCAGAAAAAAAATTGATAAGGGCAAAAGACGAATGCCTTTTCCCTCATCAAAACAATCTAAAATATCGACTTTTGCTACGCGGCCAATGTCAATTCCTCGTACTAAGAACCTGCATATAAAAGTTTTAATCATGATTATAAAAGACATGCAGCCATTTACAATTGTTGAAGATGAAGGGTTCAGAGAATTGTTAGAAGAGTTTGCTCCTCCTTATAAACTTCCTTCAAGAAAAACTTTAAGCAACAGTTTGTTGCCCCAAACATATGATGAGGTTGTTCAGAAAGTAAAGAATTTACTAAAAAATTCGAAGTATTTGACGATTACGACGGATACTTGGACATCCACAACTGTTGAAAATTATTTGGCCATAACCGTACATTATTTTTCTGTCACTCTCTGTCTACACTACAGTATGTATAAATAGTCAGATTATCAGTATTTATTACAGTATTCGTTACATTTATCAAAAAGTATCGGATACCTCTGACTTCGGAAAGTATCGGATCTTTTGTATCGGATAGATACTTTTTGCCCACCACTAGGGTGCATGGAATAATTATTTTTATTGGGGAAAAGTGGCCCAAAAAGATCGCCAGCAAAAATACGTAGGAAATTTGCGTATTTTTTACATATACGCTTTTCAAAATGCATCGGAAGAAGTTTTGGAAAGATTCTCTAAAATAAACATATACGGTGAGGTTTAAGTTTGGCTGATGTCGTAAAAGAGAGAAGCGTGCTATATGTATCACAATAATATGTACGAGGATCAGTGGCGTAGCTAGAAGTCATGGGGCCCCGGGGCAGACATTTTTTGGGGGCCCTCATGAGTATGTTTAAGAATAAATAATATCATGTTATAATAAAAAAATTGTTTATTGTCATAAAAACAAAAAGTAACAAATTAAAATAATGAAATAACAAAAGTCAAAAATTAAGCAATAATAAAATTAAAAATCCCTTTTTCTTGCTTTTCTATTTGCAAATTCGTTGATAATATCATTTATATCAAGGCTTTGGGCTTCTTCATTCTCTATAGAGAGTAAAGCAAGATCGCTTAATCTAATCCGGCCTGTAGTAGACCTAAGATAGTTTTTTACAAGTTTTAGCTTGTTAAATGATCTTCCAACAAATGCAGTAGTTACAGGCAACGTAAAAAATAAAAGGAACATTAAGTAAACTTCACTTAAGTCGCTTTCAAGTACGCCATACTTACTTAAAATTATATTGAAATATTCCTTAATTGATAGATCATTCTTAAGGTCTCTTTTACAAACATTTAACAAATTGGTATACTGAAATATTAAATTATTTAAATCAAATGTTTCAGGATATTTGTTATAAATGGCTGTACATTTATTTTTAATGGATGTTTCATCGCAACTTAATATAATTTTTGGAAGAAGTAAATCAAACAATTTATTAATTTTTTTCATGCTCCTAAATCTATTAGAAATCTGTGTCAGAACACGGTTCATAACAACATTAAAAACATTTATTTTCAATAAAATTTGAGTATTATTAAATCTGTAATCACTTAAGAGTTCGTCAAAGTGTTTTTTAACTTTAGGTTGACGTTTTTGCCTGAATTCCGGTTGAATATTCCATTTGTTAGCCAGTTCCGTAGCTTCAATCATTAAAATTTCCTAAGCATATCTTAAGTCAGTAAGGTTCATTTCTACTTGTACTAAAACAGTCACATATGCACTTAAATCAATATTTTTCTTTTGAAGGACCTTTGAGGCAAAGTTAACCTGGGTAAAGATTTTATACAACATTGTTGAAATAAATACAAATTCAAAGCAACACATTTGTTTTTTAATGGAAGAAGCTTCTTCTCTATCTTCTTTTTTATGAGACTGTAACTCTATTTCTGTTAAAGATTTAATAATATCAAGATAACGAAGTTTGACAGCACTAATAGACAATATCCTTCCTGACCAACGAGTTGGTTTTAATGTTTTTAAAGTTGTTCTAGATTCACTCGTAAAAGAAGCTAAAAGATCCCATCTATCAATACTTAAGCCAAAAAAAGATTATATATTTTGCATAGTTACTTGTTCTTTATCAGCATGCTTTTTTAATTTTTCCTCTTTTTCTAATTTCAATTTTCGTTTCTGTGCTCCAGACTGATATTTCCGCTTATCTTCCTTTTTATTTTTTTTGCGTTTTGTTCCGCAATCTGCTAATTCTGCCAAGAGAAGAATACACAACCATTTTTAAATGCATTCGATAGTTGTGTATCTATTAGACTGTTTCAAAAAAATTGTCTATTTTTTTCTCTCAAGTACGTCGAAAATATTGTTAGAAATGACGAAAAAAAATCCTGTAAAAGTAACAGCTCTTAATATTAATATATTAATATTAATATATTAATATTAAGTGGTGCCGCATCGAAAATTTCAATTTCCCTCGAAAAACATTTGAACGAGTAGGTTTATCGGAAAATTGTAAGAGACCTTTTTTGTAAAGCATTCAATTCCCTACAAGAGTAAACTATGAGCTCATTCGTATGATAATTTAGTAATGAGAAAAAAATTCAAAAGTTTTTTTCCCATGTTAATGAAGAAATGTTAAAGAGCTGTAACTTTTACAGGATTTTTTTTCATCATTTCTAACAATTTGTTCGATATACTATATACTTAAGAGAAAAAAAATTAGTCGATATTTTTGAAACAGTCAATAGATCATTTTTAGTCTTTAAGAAGCTTTTCGAATTTAGTGTCGGGTTTAAGGTGTCCGCAGAGTTTCCGTAAAATAAGACTTAAGCCCAGACTTAAGCTGTAACGTAATTTCTCATGCCTTAAGGCTTAAGTCTTGACTATACTTTATAAATCACCTGATCAGAATTCTGTATAATTCCTTGCGGTTAAGTCTTAATCTGTCTTGAATGAAACTTAACTCTTAAGTCTTACTTTACGGAAATTCTGCGGGCGCCTTTACTCAGCAAGGTAATGGACAAATGTACATTTACAAACAAAATTACGCACAAATCAAAATCGAGCCATTTATTCATTAAGTAATATAACTTACACTTGCCTTTTTTTCTAATAGGTACCTTATTATAACGAGACACAATAGTCACAATACAAATATAGTAATGTTATTTTACACCACGCCGGGCACCACGGCAAGACTATGACACATATCAATATCACATAGGGCACGCTGGGTACTTAAAATCATCAAAACAATAGATCGGGGAATCCCCAAAGACGAGACGTAATATTAAGGCGGTGGTGCCAAGCCCATCGCGGTCCGACGGATTATAGCTACATACATTTAGGAACGCAAGCGTTTTCCTCAAATATGTAGCGTTTTAGAAAATAAACATTATTTATCATTATATTTATTATTTTTCTTTCTAGTATACCTAGGTTATATTAGCACTTAATGAATTTATTGCTGATCGGCGCTTAAAAACAATTTTTTTGAGGCGCATGGCCGGGGCCCCGGGGCACTGCCCCGGTTTGCCCTAGGATAGCTACGCCCCTGACCAGGATGTAAGAAAGAGTATGGCGATGGCATCCGTGACCTCCTACTCGGGTTGTTAGGCGACGAGATGTTACTATCTCTTCCTAACACACGTATTGCACGCTTCTTATGCTTCTCTCTTGTACACATTACTACGTCAGTGGTATTTGGTTTTCAGTGTGTACATGTACAAAGTATATATGCTCCAGCAAGTGTAGTCATGTTGCCTGTCAGCAACAGTGATAGTTCGCGGCACGTACCCTTTCTAACTAATGGATTGCTTCGATGGATTGCACGCTTCTTTTCCCGGCACACATTGAAAACGACCAGGGAAAACGTCCATCGTCAGCATTAAGGAGACATGCTGATAACTATAACTGATACTATAATTAATATTTTATTATTATCCTAAAAGGCACGTCTATTGACGTGACAGCTGATTAGCATTCGACATTTTTGGTATTTGTTTGCTTATGCCCTTACCCTTATCTTATGCTGGGGCCACACTATCGCGATAACGCGAAGATTTGCGTTGTCGCGACACGTCTCACAGTGTGTTCCTTTATAGGGATCAGGGACAAAATTCGATATCTTAAAAACTAGTGGTCCTATTTGAATTCTGTAAACGCAGGGCGATTACTTATTTAAGTAGCTTTGTAAAGTATGACAAAAATTATTTAAAATAATAAGAAGGGGTGGGGGAGCAGGCGGGATGCATTTCGCATAAATCGTGTTTTTTTTGTAAAAGTCAAAATATTAAGTTGATGATCTCGAATAAATTGGGATAAGGTAGGATATTATTATAGCATTCTTAAGAGAGACAAAAAAGTCACGCTTTTATTTTTCAAGATCTTTACCGAATGATTTAAAAGATAATGTAGCCAACTTGTGGCGGGCGCAGTATTGTCTATCTATTTGAAAAAATAATAAGAATAATTCAAATAAAAAATAAATCTGTATAATTTGAAATTGATATTTAGGTTTTTATTTAAAAAATATATTTAACAAAATAACAATTACTTAGTAGGTAATGTATGAAATAATAATATAAAGTATATTAAAAAAATAACACCAAATATACCCATTCTAATCGGAATAGGATTTCTTGCTCGGTGCTGTGTCATTCGTTATTGTACCTAAGTCAATACCTAAATCATCATTTTCTTGCCTTTTTAAATAGTTCTGAACTGCCTCGTTGCATTTCTTATATTTTTTTGAGCTCACCTTTCTTTTTGAGGATATAAAAGGATCAGAAGTAAGTAAAAGAACACGCATGAGATCCTTATTCTTATCTGTTCTTGAACATTTTCTGGTGTGAGATAATCGATGTTTCCTAGCCTCTTTATGGCGAGCCTCAAGCGCATTCTCCGACAGTTCTCCAATGGGCAAATAAAATGCATCAATTATCTCACAACCATGAACAAGGGCCTTATGTACCGTGTTTGGCATGTTGTACCACTTATAAAGGTGGATATACAAATTTCTTGCTTCTTTCAGCAATGACGCAAACTTTTCCATATCAATAGCGCAACCACTAGCTAACACTCCTAAGATGATCGCAAATTTCTCGATTAATTTCCTGTCAACCCCTGTGATATCTGAACTTGTTTGTGGATTGTGGAAAAAAATTCTGGCCGTATTGCCATCATTTGAGGAGCCATACCCGGGTTTTGGTTTGTCAACTATTAGAGACAGCTTGGCTCTGAACTCTGCTTGGATTCGTTTTTTGTTTGCTTCGACTATAGCTTTGTTTTCAGGCCCACGAACCTGCCAAGATTTAATTGGCAGGCAGTATCCAATATGGAGTAAGCATTCAAAAAAAACGAATCCAGCAGTGTAAAGTTGACAAACCAAACCGGTAATTTTCTACGTTAGGAGGACGGTTAATCCCTGCTAAGGTGTTCATGTCCTTGGGTGTGGCTCCGCAAATGACTTCATAGTTGAATTTGTCTCTGATAGAACGTTTCCAACACTGCCGTCCAACATTGTTAACATCATATCAACTTCAATTATATAGGAGTGCCCTTCTTTTGTTTTAATCTCAATAGGAATCAAATTTTCAATTTTTGTTATTATTTCCTTTTCCGTATTCCGCACTAAATCAGCATTTTCCTTTTTAAATAAAAACTTGATCGGCCTACAATATAAAGTAGATGAAGGGCTCTCATTTTTACACAATACCTTATTCGTTTCCATATCAATCAATCTGAGTGGCGTCATTGCTACAAGAAACAGAAATTCGTCGGTGTTTTCTAAATCAGAAAATTTCAGCTTATATTGGCTATGCCCAGAACTGCCATCAAATCCTCACTTGCCTATCACTTTAATCCGACAATCTCTCTCTTCAAAATTTATTATTTCAAGGATACTTTCAGCTGTTTTTTGTAAAAGTTCTTGCAAATCAACTTCTGCAGAAATTTCAGTAATAATAAATTGTGAAGGGAGGATAGCATTTTTTGTTTTCTGTAATTCTTTATAACTAGGAAGGCAGTTCTGGGCCTTACCATTAATAACAGACGTAAGTAGCAAATACTTTCTTACGGATATATACAAATCTACCATAAGGGCTAAAGCTTCAGCTGTACTAAAACTAAAAATTTGTGGCGAGACCTCACTGTGATTGCTTCCAGAAACGACATTTACAGCAAATTGAAGTAATCATTTGCAGATCTGTCTGTGGTTAGTTCGGCTACACGTCTTCGTTTTGTTTTCTTCGATGCCTCTTGAAATGGCACCCGTGGCCGTCCAACTGAGCGACAAGGAGGTTCTTGTTCCTCATCCGGAGATGTGTTTTCTTCAGAATCATTATTTATTCTATATATAATCTTGTCTAACCAATATACCTGATTTTGTAAAAGTCGATTCCGAGATTGTCCTACTTTCTGCCATTTATTTGCCATTTTCAACCCAAGCAACTGGCTGCATTTCATAATATTACTTTTAAGATGTTTGGAAGGTTCATCTGTTATATCAATAGGAGATAATATCTTTTCATAAACCACCTGTTTTCTATTTCCTCTCGGCGCTTCTATCCACACATCAATCAAATCTCTATTTCTGACAATAGCACCATGTCCTAAAAAAAAATATATCTCCCTTAGACGTGGCATGACGTGATTTAAACTTTTTATCAAAACTTACTATGGCTATGGACAGATAAACAATAAATAAAAAAAATTTTAGGGTGATGGGAGGTGATTTTTGTAAAACTCTAAACAAAGTCAAAAGTTTAAAAAAAATTAAAAAAATCGGTAATAGTCACTTTAACTTAAAAAATTATCTAATTATAATTATATTTTAAATAAATCTATACATCAATATAATGTACTTACCAGCCTCATTACCAGCCATATTGGAAAAGTTAAAATATTTAAATATTTCGACACAAAATTTATATCTTTGCCGAGCAATAAAACAGATTTTTCGCCTTCTTGACAGGTCTCGACATGTCTAACTTTAAAGTTCCTAAAATAGGTAAATCGCAGCCAACTTGATTAAAGTACTATACTTACGTGTTGCAGTGACTATTTATCTATCCAATGGTATAATAAAAGCAACAGAATTCTAATGTCAAAAATTATGTTTTTGAGTAATTTTGTCCATTGGGCGCCACACTGTGCGTCTGGCCAAAGAATTCGTCCTATCGCGAATCATCTTCGCGATTACGAATACTCTTCGCGCCACTGTCGGTAAATTGCCGCACATCATAAGGTTTTGTCGCGACAAAGTTCGTGCGGTTGGCCATATTTCGCGCGCTTTAGTTAACTGCAAGACGACGAGCGGTTTGAACGTGCTTGATTGAACTTGTTAATCATGGATTGGAGTAATGAGATGATATTAGAATTCATACAAAATTATGAATCTGAACCAGTTTTATGGAACCCGCAAGAGCAAAAAAAAAACCAATGAATTACGACGCATTGGTTAGAATTAAAGCTAATTTAAACTGACCTGTTTTGGTTGAGGAACTAAAAGCAAAAATGAAATCCCTAATGGCTTATTATGGAAGTCTGGAACAGGCAAGGACGATATTTACCAAACCGATTTTTGTGTATAGGTAACATGCACCACCGCCTTTTATCTTTTATTCCTCTTTTTGACCTTTTTATTTTTGCCCAAGAATTAAAGCTAATTTAAGCTGACCTGTTTTGGTTGAGGAACTAAAAGCAAAAATGAAATCCCTAATGGCTTATTATAGAAGTCTGGAACAGGCAAGGACGATATTTACCAAACCGATTTTTGTGTATAGATAACATGCACCATCGCCTTTTATCTTTTATTCCTCTTTTTGACCTTTTTATTTTTGCCCAAGAAATAAAGATGCAGTAAATAATTATTAGCCGCCATGTCATATGTCACGGCTCAAACACGAACGTGTATCGTGACAACGCGAACACGAATCTTCGCCTTCAAGTGTGGCCGTAGCATTAGACATGACCACAGGACCTCCAACCTAACCAGCGCTACCTACCTCTAGCTTTGCAGTTTTCTCAACATTGTGTGGTATTGGAGAGCTTTGGCAGTTAGCAATTACAAATACAGCATATGAGAGTCTTACAAGCTTAACATTTAAGTCGAAAGAAGTCAATAGATTACAGGTTAATGTTTACGTAAGATCTATTTGTGATTGTCAACCCTCTCTATTTTATCTATTCGTATTAAACCTTTATCATCTATGATGGTATTAATGGGGGTAATCCGGAAAGCTCGAAGTAGATGCCAACAGTTAGGCTTGCTGTTCGCGTCAATAGATTATCGTCCTATAAAATCTGACTGAGCGCTTTCTTTTATTCATCGATGGGTCCACGTCCACGGATGCCATCAAAGCCATAAAACTGTTCTTTTATTCATCACTGGATTCCATCAAGGAGTTATTTTATTCCTGATGGATCTAGTTTTGTGAGGACATCGGACCCATCATTCTAGAAGTGCCAATCAAATCTCAAAAAAGTAGCAAATGCGAAATTTATTAACTCAATATACATAGGTTTGAATTCGTAACTGGCAGCAAAACAATAACAAAGGGCGATGGCTGTGCACTAGATGCCATCTTCGCCGGGTTCAGCACTGATGAATTCCAACAGAACAGCTTATTTTGCTGAATAAAAGACATCACCCTCTTTGTCCAATTGACTTTTGACAGATTGACCTCCAACTACACTAGCGCTGAGTGGCGGGAGCAAAATTTGACATCGCTGCCATTCTCAAGTTGTGTTAATCTAGTCTAATTTTCCCGTCTATGAAATGACGTTGTCCTTCTAACATAACCTAACTTTTTGATTTGCTTTTACCTTTTCCTGGTATAAACGTATAAATAAATGTGTTGTGGTTTTTCGGATTCCCGCAGTTTTTCGTCGGTGAGGAAAGCTGTGGTCGGAAGTGCTGTCTGGTTGAAATACTAGCCTCGTTTTGTGCATTCATAATTTTTATTCCAAACGTTCAAAAATGGGCAAGAATCATAGACATAAAAAGAACTTGAAAGCTGATAAAGCAAAAGTACACCTGAAGCAGTCCAAAACTAAATTCCTGCCAAAGGGCCAGAATGTTACAAATACTGCCTTCAAGGTCAAGCCCATCATCTTGCCAGAACAGTTAAAAGCCAAGTCTTCAGATATACCACTCAGTAGGAGGAAACTTGATGCCAAGGTATTCAATTAATAGGTCTTTCATGACTAGGCTAAAGACTTGCTAGGGGAAATTTTGACTGTAGTAAATTATCTACAAAAATATTCTGTTGTGCTTAAACTTAATAGGTTTCTCTTTGTTTGCAAAACATGGTTGTGTAGAAATCTACTATAATAAATGTAATAGAAAGTACATAAATCTTGCTTTTAAATCAATTTATAACGTTTGTGGAGTGCACTTTGAAGAATTCCAATAAGTGAGAATATCAACAATATTCTGCATCTAACCCATTTGCAGGCATTTTTAATCTCATAGCCATCATTTACAACCCAAACCTAGTGTCTATTCAGATGGAGAAGCAAAAAAGGCTGGTGTAGTTAACCTAGAGAATTACCATTTCTGGTAGCTAAAATCATTTTGTTTAAATTGTACTATATATGCACAGGAAGGACCTTAACACACTGAGATTACCTAGATTCAGTGTCCAACAATTCTTGGTTCATACAATGGATTTGCAAATTTTGTTACTTTTTTGAAACTCCTCATATTGGCTCAACACTTTTGTTCTTTTGTTATAACATATTTTCTATCAAATTATATGGTGCACTTACTTTGTATCCTTTCCTTAATTTTAGGACCTGCTGACTAGATTAAAGCATTACAATGAAAATATTCGCCACAGTGCTTGTGAGGAACTAGCAGATGTTATGAAAATACATAGTAATGAACTTATCAGTCAGCATTTAGCACAGATAATAGTTAGCATTAGTTCCTTGATGCAAGACAAGGAACAAAAGGTCAGGAAAGCTGCTGCCAAAGCTGTGCATGTTATCTTAGAAGTGGTGTGTATTTCATTCTTAGAATATAGTCTGATTATCAGCAATAAATAATCTAACACAATTTCAATCTTGATGAAAGGAAAATAATACTGGGCACATTTGTAGTACTGCAGTACTCAGCACTGTACCATTTGACATGCCATCTACTGGTAACTGATTATTAAATAAACTAGCCCACTCAGTTCAATATGCTAACCACCAAGCTGTTGCAGCTTGACCACATTTAGGAATCCATACTGCTCAATGTTTGATATGTAATTTTTGACAGTATCCATTTTACAGAAAGTATACTACACAAAACATACAGCATAGGGGTTGAATTGACTGAATTTGCAGTATGTTGTACAATATAATTTCTTGAATAAAAGTCCCAATGGCACAAAGTATAATGAACTGTTTTTGATATATGGAGGATCCAGTTGTTATACATATCATAATTGAGAGGATTGTATCATAAAAATAGTTTTCAATTCAACATATTTACATATTGAATATGATCATATTCCATATGCAACTGCACACACATTTATTTCTTCATATACAAAACAAAAAATGTTGCATGTGTACTACAACTGGGTACAAATTCACTATAGAAGCTTCTCTATGTAGGGTGTCTCATGTAGTACTACTGTAGCTATGTCTGTCTGTTTTTGATATATGGAGGATCCAGTTGTTATACATATCATAATTGAGATGATTGTATCATAAAAATAGTATTCAATTCAACATATTTGCATATTGAATATGATCATATTCCATATGCAACTGCACACACATTTATTTCTTCATATACAAAGCAAAAAATGTTGCATGTGTACTGGGTACAAATTCACTATAGAATCTTCTCTATGTAGGGTGTCTCATGTAGTACTACTGTAGCTATGTCTTACTGAAGAAGTTAAAATAAGACAGTAGTGAAAATTTGGGCTTATATTCACTGTATTTAAATGATATTTATTCTTGGTCAAAGCAAAGATCAGCCATGCAAATTCGCGCGCTCTTATTGAACAGAGGCGATTGAGCAAATGAACTTAGCTAAAATATTTTCAAAAAAATCTAGATAAACCCTCCCCACCCCCGACAACCTCCACCCCAAATTTTTTTGCTTCCAAATTTTTTTTAAAACGATCAGGATCCTCTGAAGTGTTTAAAAACCAAGTTTGAGCGATTTTTATTTTTGGCCTTTTTCTCTGCAGCCACTGGACCGAGTTTTAAAAACTACAAAACTTTTGGCATAGAACTAATATTGTGTAAGAATCTATGTGGTACTACTCAAGATATAGGTGGTTATAAGATTAGCAGACAGACCAACGGAAATGAGTGACATGGTTTTTCATGATGTACATGTCACATAACATTCAAGGAACATAATCTCATTTTCGAAAAATGTTGCGATTACAATATTTCCCAGCATGATTTAAAAATTTTCCATAACCAAATAACTTTTCCTTCTGATACACACACATCGGTACTATGTTAATATTCTACAGGTCAGGTCAGGTGTTAAAATGGGATTTCTAAACATTCAGACTTTGATATGATTTTTATGTAGGGTTCTCATCACCTTAAGAAAAAATAGTACTGGGTGGTTAATGCAATGAAATTATAAAAAAGATGGTATCCATTTTAACAGAATATTTTTGGGATTTCTAAAATCCGCATTTTTTAACCTATTTGTACGTATGAAGAACGAGAGAGATATAGTAAACAGTAATGAATGCATATACATACTATTAGAGCAAATGCCTAGAAATTGTTGAAGTGACTGGAGTGATGTTGATTCTCTAAAAGAAATAATTTTGGAATGAACAGTTTTGAAGAAGTCTTTTTGGAAGACTTGGAAAAGGATAACGCATTTTGTTCACAGTGCATGCCCTGGCTCCCGAATGTTTGCGAACTCGCTCAACTGTGTAGTCCGGTACTACCGGAAAGTAGACTGAAAACATTTTAGCCCAATTGCTCCCAAGACTTATTCTATGACTCCAAATTTTGGGTAATAGATTGCTGCAGTTATAAGTGGGACACCCTGTACGTGTTAACAGGTGCTTTGTGCCCATGAAACTTTTAATCTGGAGGTGATAATGTACAATACCCTGCAAATACAGCCGCTATACCATTTTTCCATATGTTTTATTTAATATCAATATCAAATAGACATTGGTATTTAATACTGCAGAACAAACTGTGGTTCCTGAATGCACCGAATAAATGATCATTTACATTTCTCCCATACATTGGTATTGCTGATGCATTATACTTATTTTATTTTAAACAAATATATTTTCTTTGACCGGCTATACTGCTACACACGTTTGTCAGATTGTCGGATTATTGGAATCTTACTTAATGTAATTGCCTGATTTTGTAGCCCTTCTGATAAGAAGCTGTGACATATAATACTGCCAACGTACAGCCGAGATATCAGAAATATTTCCAGGCAATACATATTGAACTATATAAGATTCTTCAATTTCTAGACACCAGAAGATAAGCTACAGCCATTCTATAACTGTTTTCTAACTAACTTGAAATGTGCAATGACTAATATTGACAGAAATATACAAGAAGGCTCTCTTACTTTTCTTGATTGCTTTTTGAAGCAAAAGAGTGAACTAATATGTAGCTATAGAGACAGTATACTCCCTGAGGTGTTTTCATTATTTTCAAAGTTACAAAGTAGTTCTGGCCTTGACAGAAAACTAACACTTAACTTGGGCAGTAAAATGACATCTGTCACCTGGAGGATCAATATTATGAGTAGATTGTTACAACTATTACCTAAAGTTGATGAAGGAGATATGAGTGGGTAGGTAGTATTGTAACCTACGTTTGATGTGCTTATGTTTCAAGATCCTATGTACTGTTACTTTTTGCTTCTAGGGATGCTAATGGTAACCATAACTTGTATGAAGCTACAAAATCTCACATATTTCCAATTTATAAGTATGAATTTGGTAGAGGGTTAGCTGCCACTGCTGATTGTTTTGGAATACATCATAATGATGCTGAAGCGAATAATGCATTAAATTTTCAAATAATGTCATTCGTGCCATTGTTGTATCAAACCTTCATAGAGGTGTTACCTGAAAAAAAGTCTTCAAAGTCTAGTGATGGTAATTATAATTTTTATTTTTTATGAATTTTTTCAAAACCAAAAATCACCTGATTATTGGTGATGCATAATAATCATTTTTTAAAAAACTTCCTTGCTGTGAGTAAAATTCTTTTTGTCCCATAATTTTATATTCAATGGCACCATATTTTTGCTTTATCATATTTCTGAAGTATAGGGTGTTTCAGAAGAACGTGGCAATATCTCTAGGGTAGAAAGTATTCCCAAAAATAACAAAGAAACATATGTCCTAAAATTTCACATTTACAAGATATTACGCCACTGTTGGGACTGAATAAGGATAAAATATGAACACTGTTCAAATAATGTTATGGTGAGATAAGATCAATATAATTTTCATTGTCAAACTTCTCGAACTTCATCAATTTTCAAAGTACTGTTGATGTGTTTTATATGCAGATTCGACCTCAAATATTATTTTTTCTCTAAAAGGAGTAGCCTGACACAATTTTCTCAAGAGAAGCTATTCGTGCTAAATTGAATACCTTTATCAGTCAGCGGCGTCAAAAATAGTAATCCTTTCTCTTCTGTAGTAGAACATAATACCTAGTTTTCACGCCACTGCTTTAGTCTCCTCCACGAAAATGTTTATGTATTGGGTATGATATCAGTACCACTTATATGGATAAAATTCCAAGACATTCGATTTTGAAATTATAATTTCAACACCCTTTTTTTCGGCAAGAGGCCTTTTAGGAATCATAGTTGTATGAATTTTTCACTTTTCAGTAATATTCCCATGTTTTTCTGAAACACCGTATATATTGTCTATTACAGAGTATACTGCATTAAGTGAGGAAGCAGCAGCAGTTTTGACGTGTGTCATAAGTACACTGTATGTGTTGTGGAAATATTACAGTAAAACAGAAGAATATGAAAACCTGGTAAGTCCACCACCAGATATAATTCTATGTATAGGAACATGACATAAATGCACCATAACATAGTATAAATATTTGTTGAGTTCATTTATCAAATTCTTCGTTGATATGAACAAAAAAGATGCAGGTAGTTCAGAGATCAAATCATTAATTTTTGTTTTAGAAAGAAGTTCTTCTGAAACCAGAAGCACGGAGGTTCTTAAGTCATCTCTTATCAAATTTTCCATACTGTAAAAGTGGCAGCACTATGTTTAAAAAGTCAAAAAGCCAGATCATTCCAAATATGACCACAGATGATAAATGTACAAAAGAAAACTTGATGATTGCATACATTTATTTTTCATTGGCTACAACTTGTAAACTTCAAAAGGATATGAAGTCAGAGCTGCAAATGGTTACATCTTTTGTGAATAGTAAGTGTATCACATATGGCACTTTTGTTACTGGTTATTGATCAAGTCAGCATACTTTTTTCGCACACATTTCAGTTTGGAAGGTCAGTTTCATGCACCCCATTCAGCAAAGTTACTCTTCCGCATTGAAAATACACCTTTAAGACTGCCGATTTATTTTTCAGGAATGTTGTTAACAAGAAAAGACCTCAACAAGACAGAAGGAAAACTATTAGTTGAATTTTTGAAACTGTGCTTCATTGATAATACAACAAAGTTGAAAAAGTTTGGTATTGATCTGAGAACCATCATTGATAACACTATAATTTTTTATACACATAGCACCACAAGCGAGTGGGTACAAAGGGAACTGTTTGCAATACTTTTGCATATAGCAAATGTCCCAACTTTGAATAAGTGAGTAATGCTTTCTTATCTACATTTGAGTATTATTCATCTGAATCTGAATTTGGTTACTATGTTTTTTCCACTAAAGAGCTTCAAAAACAGCAATATTTGAATAGTACCATGGCAACTATAGCCCAGCCATCTTGATCATATTGCAATATATGGTTTGGTTACATCTGCTATATCTTGGCAATATTGTCTGCAATACATACATCGACGTGTTAGAATTTTTCATCCGAAGGGCTACATACAAGAATGACTAACAAAATTTTGACATTAAGTAGAATTCCGATCGTTCGGAAATCTGACAGCAGTATATAAGAATAGGAAATGTCAGGTATGTGTAGTGATATAGACGGATATAGCCAGGCTATACTAGAAATAGTATTGTAGGTTGCTGGTTAGTCTATTGCAGCTAGGGATGGCAACAATACTCGATGTATCAAAACATCAATACATCGAACCTAGAACATCAATGTTTTGGCATCGATACATCAATCTTGAAGTGACCAAACAGATTGGTTTACCTTACCTGTGCTGCCATCTCTAAACGAGGAACGGTAGCTTTATAACTAACAGAATCTTCACATTACCAACATGTCAGAAATCTGTTTAGAAGTACTCCAGTGATATGAATATTATCTCTAGATACGCTAGATGGACGGTAGTCTCAGCTTTATATTCTGCATGTGCTACTAGCGCCTAAAATAATGCTTATACATTGTATTACAATTTCTATTTTTATAATTGGATATTAAACTTTCTCGAATGCTGGTATTTATATGTTTTAACGTAGTAAATCATTACATTAACATAAAATATACTATTACGAGTATATTTTTGTTATATACCTTTCTCTGCATGATCATTTTCTCTTTGTAGATCCAATCGGCTTGAAGTACCACAGCAAGTAGCTAAAACCGGCCGCGTGGTTATGGTTACATGTCGCCTTGAAAATTCGAGGTCTTCTAGCCATTTTATACTACAATGTGTAGGTTGGCTCTTGTTGTGGACTTCGTGTATGATTTTTTCCCTGTCCATCTTCGTCTCCCCCACTTTCCTACTTTTTGCGGATTTTGCCCATTATTTTCCTATTTTTTGTTACATATATATAAAAGTTAAAAGAAATCAGCCTATTTTTCGATACATGCATTTGTTTCCTATCAAAGCCATCAAATGCAATGATAGCCATGTTTATAGATGCCTAAATATTGATGTCACCATGGCTCTACTTATCAATGTCTGAATATCGATGTTTTTTGATAAACTGCCATCCCAAATTGCATAGATAATGAAGTGACAATATTGCCCAATTTATAAGCATAATTATAAGCCAGAGAGGGAAATATGATTTCAGTGCCTATTCTCCAAGTATATGAAAAACAGAAAACGTTTTAGTTTAAGAGCTCTTGATTTTTAGATCTGCTCAGTACAACAGTTTTGTGATGACTTTGCCTAGTATGCTATGCAAAACGAAAGTTTCAGATGTTACAGTTGATTCCCTGCTTCAGTTTTCTAAGTTTGGACATGAAAGTTTTCAGCAAGCATTTACCAAGAGATTTCAGAAGATTTTAGGTTAGCAGGTTTTAATACTAATCATTAGCAGTCCTTATTTAGCAGAAATAAAAGACGGAAATGTGAATATCAATTTGATGTTTCAGGAAATTTAAGGTCATTAGTAATAAATGTTACAAAACCAAGCTTGATCAACACAGAAGAGTCGGTGAAAAGAAAAATAGTATATATTTTTTATTTCTTCAAAACACTCGACCCCATTCTTGAAGACATAAATAAGTTTTGTGATGTTGAGCCTACCTGTATATATAGTTGTTATTTCCGTGAAATGCTCAATATAAGGTAAGCATTGATTAGACAGTCATCTTTCAAAGTATAAGTGATATAGTATTCATTACAACTTTTCCTTTTCTGTCGATTTTTTCTAATCAGTGAAGTCGAAAACACAAATGCTGAACGAAAAAGTCACTGACGTACACACTAACACACACTGTAAGAAGATCACAATCTAGCGGGTTTTATTTCCTTTGCTTATATCGAGTGATCCAAATTCGACTCGTACCATTGGTATCTCGGAAAGGTTAAGAGATGCGTTTTTTCCTAATTCATTTTGAAATGGGACTTCAAAATGAAAAGTATACAGCATTATCACTTTTTCTTCTCTACAAGATGACATGATTAGAATTTCAATGTGAGTTTCATGTGTGCAAAAATCCAATATGTCTATAATAATAAATAAAGACCATGCTTGAGCACAAGAGAGGAATCGTCATATTGAAATTCTTGTAGACGATAAAGTGGTAATGTTGATCAGCTTTTTATTTTGAAATCCCATTTCAAATAAAGTCAGGAGAATACAAAATATTGGGATAATTCGGTTTCTTTCGTCTATCCCCGGAAATACGAATGCGAAACTTTCTAAGCGCAATTTTCTTAGTTACCCCAGGATGCAACTTTACCCCTATTTAACGTACTTCGTATCATTAACCAGTCCCGAGACCCCAACGATGAGAGTCGAATTTGGAACACCCAGTATATATTATATAACGAACGCATTGTAGTTTAAGTTATCTATTTAAAAGAAAATAAAAAAAAATGTATACATACAGTGCATTTCAAAACGGTCACCCAATTATTTTTTAAACAGGTGAAGTAAGCAACCTAAAATTTGGGAATGCGAAATTAATGCATAAATATATTTTAGCGGAAAAATAACAGCTGAGCACATCAAGATGACAGCTGGTCGCGATCTTTTTTCAATGAAATCGGAATCCTTATTAATGTATTCTACCTGAAGACAGCCGATTACAGATATAAATTCAGAAATATACTTTGAAAAGAATTAGTACGGGTATTTGGTTCTGACATTGTCTCATAGATGCTGCTAGGATCTTCAATTCATTTGTGGCGCCTCTCTAAGGGCTATTTTTATTTAATATTTTCAGGCAGTGTTTGAGGTATTCTCTTTGAAGATATCCATTTAGAACATGCGTTATAGAGCCGCCAAAAAGGGATTGTAGATACTAATGTCATCTTTGATATATCAGCAGAACTAAACACTATTAAGTGCTATCAAATTACATTTCTAAATTCACTTTTGTGGTTTGCTACTACCTCATAGATGGTGCTATGGTCTTTTAGAACCCTTTTTAGGCACCGGAATACAATATAATGTTTGGCTATTACAGTTCAGGGTGTCCAGAGGGATAGTTCACTTTTTGATTTAAGAAAAATAATACAAACTTAATGAAAAGAAAATATTACTCTTAACATATTCGTAAATTCGGCGGGTTTTATTTCTTAAATATCATTCCGTTCAAATGTTTGCCATCCCTTCGGACACATTCTGAATCTCTTGCAGAATGCCGGAGTGATGTTTATTTCTCGTCGAATGTTGTCTTGAAGCTCCTCCAGTGTTTGTGGATTATTGGAATACACTTTTGACTTTAGATAACCGCACAAAAAAAATAATCGCATAGCGTGATGTCGGCTGACCGATGAGGCGAGTGAATGTCTCCAAACTTCGATATAACTTTTTGAGGAAAAAGTGCTTTCACCATGCCCATAGATTCTCTGGAAGTATGGGCGGTGGCCCCATCCTGTTGAAACCATGTGTTTCTGTTAAATCGACGTTATGTTCTTACAATATGAGCAAAAAAGTGTCAATCACTGTATCGCTCGGAATTGACGTCAATGCATGACCGTTTTTAGCTTCAAAGAGATACGGCTCAATAATACAACCTTTGGACTATGCAGCTGTTGTTGTTTCTGTTTTTGGTTGGTTTTGGTACCCAATATCTGCAATTTTGCTTGTCCACATAACCGTCTAAGTGAAAATGAGCCTCATCACTGAAAACAACGTTCTCGAGTCTGCGCTGCGTAGGAAAAAGATTAAACTTGGATGGACTAATAATTGGATTTTATAAGGATAATTATGCCATGCAGTGTTGACCTAGGGATTCATTAAGCAGCGGAATACTTCCGTACAGAACGCTGACGATTTGCAATTACCGAATCACTTACTCGACGCACATTTTCTTCGGTTGATACAGTAGGTGTGGGGCCACGAATGGGTTGACTAAGAGTAGAGCTTAATCAACTTTTTCAATAGGTTCTTTCTTGGGGCATCTCTTGGTTGGCGAATGTTGTATCGTGCACAAAAGGGCAACTGCCAATGAATCACCACTCTTAAAGTAAGCGTCGATAGCAAAAGCACGTTGCATTGTGGCTATTTAATCCGCACGCCGCACGCAGAACGCGTCGATCAAGACCTCTCCCCACTTCGTCGCGTATACGGTTGCCGCGTTATTCAAGTTTGAAATGTGAACTTTCTCACTGGTATGTAATATGAATCATCTTCTCTTTGAATGTTTTATCAGAATATGTAAAAGACATGAAAAGTCAAACGAACTTAATAAACGAGGCAAATAATAATAATTTTGTGATCATATTAATAGGTTGCACAAATTAACGCTACACAACGGGTAACTCAGTTTATCTATCGATATTAACATTTCTTATTTTTGCTTTCACCTTCACACGTCAAAATATTTGTGCTGCCTTAGGTAAAAATATCAATAAATAAGATAGTCGAGATTTTGGATTGAATCAAGCTAGATTGTGGTTTCATGAATGTGACGGTTCTAATAAATCATGTGATTTTCAGTGAAAATTGGTGCATAGTTTTTACTAATAACTCGCACTCAATATTAAACGAGAAATATTTCTTATACAGAGTGTCACAGCGATCGACAACTCAAAAGGTTGACGTAAGACAGTTATGAAAATATGGGTTTATAGTATAACTGGTGCAAGCAATTTATTTGAAATGTTTTCAAAATGTGGATTCTACGTACGACTATACATATGAGTGAGTCTAATCGTTTTGAGGTATTTTAAGTTTTGCGTACTTTTCCCTTTTCTATGTGATTTGCAACGCTTACAGTAGGGGACCTATTTTAGTAGATTTTATTCCGAATTTGGATTACAAATAGTACAGGGAGGTCAAAAAATAGAATAAAAATTAGATTTCAGAAAATCCAGAAAGTGAATTTCTTCAAACCGATGCGACCCTTTTCATTATTTCATCATACTAAACATTGAAAGTGAGGATAATTTTGTATCCGGTTGTCTACTTCGCAAATTAAAGGTTTTCGAAGCGAAGTACTAAGGATATCTCACTATCGCTGTTTATATATCTCTTTTTTGAACCACCCTGTACCATCTGTTATCAAAATCTGGAATAAAATCTCCTATAGAGTAGGTCCCCTACTATATGGTACCTGTTGAAGATCGGATACGATAAAATATTGCTATAATTGACTAATTTAAATTTTCATTTTTATCGCAAAATTTGAGATCTCTCAAAAACTATAAATAGTATTTTATCTCATTTTCTTGAAAATCTTTATGGAATACAATTGCTAGGTACAGCTTCTTCAAGTTCTGCGGTATAAACCTATTGCACGCCACTATAAGTTCCGACACACGTTTAAACGCTTGCAAAGTGCAAAGATCCGTGCGCCGTGTCAGCAGGTCCATCGACATTTAACTGACATTGTTAAAATGTCATGAGGATAACGAATTTCAAAAATCGAGTTTCTGTTCTGAAATTTTCAAAAAAATATTGTTTTTTTGTAGCATGAGAGGAATAACACGTTAATGTCGAAAATATACTCATATATTGCAACACAACAAAGTCGGAACAGACGTAAGATACGCACTAAGGCCACTCAATTCACTGAGCCCAACTGTAATCTGTCCATATCTCGGAATCCGTAGATGTTTGTCTTTAACGCAACTAGGCTCTTGTCCTCGTAGGTCTATGTCGTTCTTCTTACTGCAACATGGCCAAAGGCTACCAAGGCTAGAAAATGATCTCTATTGTAATGTCTTTGTCAAGTTTGACTTCTGCTACAACTGTCACTATCACTGCCTGTTAAAGTGTATAGGCGAGGAAAATTAGTGAAGAATGCCAAAGTCGCTTTCGTTTCCGAATGCCACTTCAGCACGGCTCACGTTAGAAATGCAGCTTTCTCTCCTAGTATTCAAACACTAAACAATTTATTTAAAATAAGCAAGTTGGTATCAATTCCCGCTCCAACCGGAGGTGTCACAATTTTAAAAATATTTTAGCCGGATTACTCTCATCATTTATACTATGAACCTAAAGTTTCATAACTGGCTTACACCAACTTTTTGTAGCGTATCGTATTAGCATGTAGCATTCCTTATTTCTATTCTATTTCAGGTCTGGATTACCGTCTCGCGATTAAAACAACAAGATAATGGATAATACATTTATATTTCATAGATACATGAAAAACATTTGTTACGAATAAAAAATAATATTACAAAATCTCAGTCTATTTAAACGATCCTATTAATATTACATCTCTCAAAAATTCCTGTTTCAGGCATATATTATACTTGGCGACGTAGTACTTGATCGGCTCTGTAGATTTTTCTTTGGAAGAGCCCTCACCGTTGCGATTACTCCTTTTTTTTGCTTCTTTATTTTTTCCTTTCTGTTTGCCTTTGCCCTTATTTGCTTCTTTCTCTAACAGTTCGACCTTTTTTTGTTGAATAACTTTTGGATTACCAAATAGCAGTGTTATCGATTTTGAGGAGTTTCCTTCAATGGTGTAGGGGTTGTGCTGTGTACTTAACACGTCGAAATATTGGACACCTGAAGTTTTGTGAAAAATAAGATGCTAAATGGGCACGACTTTTCATAGACTCGAAAAACGTCTCCTTTTGAAATACGAGGCGTTGAAAATTTCCATCGTTTGTTTTCTTTGATTTGTGCAGATAAAATATTCAAACTTCTACAGACATATTTTCACATTCTTGTTGATTTTGAAAAAGGACAGTTTCCTCAGTTCTATCCATTTGGTTACATAAACTATTTTCATGTAATCGCGTAAGGAATGTCATTCCTCTAAATATGATTGATATATATCAGTATCTGAGGTTTGCTAACATTTTGTCACAAAACTTAGCAGGATTTGTGATTGGGCCGCCAGCACTTGATCGAAGTTGGTTAACATGTGGTCTTCTAAATAAAGCATGCAATCAGTGTATTTTTGTTGTTTCCTTACCTTTACCTTTGTGTTTTCCAAAGAACGGAATTGAACATTCTTCAACTTTAGTTAGGTTTTGAGACATTTTTTCTACTTTTACTTTTCCTTTACCCGTTTTAGAGCTCTTATCTTTATCAGTTTTCTGGTCAGTCTTCTGGGATGTTTTATATTTTTTATCACCAGCTTTGCATTTCTCAACCTTTTCAAGAACTGGTTCTTCATTTTTCGAAAGATCTTGCATGTAACCATTTATTTCAACCAGTTTTTGGAAATTCAGCAATACCTTACAAGGTGTGGCGTTAGAGATCTGTAGGTAGAAAATACTAACAATAAAGGCTTTGTCTGGCATTAAAACAAGATAAACAAGAATAATTGAATAATTACCGAGAATTTCACTTCGGTGACGCCATCGCTAGGCGCCTCTAATCTGTAAACTCTAAAAGCAGGCGTTATTTTCACATTTGGCATAATTCCCACTCCTTCAAAAATCAAAGGTATGGTGGTTCGTCCGGAAGTAATTTCAAAATATTCTTCAACCTTCAAAATAATGTCACATCAGCAGAGGAAGAGATCAGCTTTTAGTAGGTCGACATAAAACGGCCGAGTTTTCATTTTTTACATTGATATCCTTGTGTTAGGAGACGTTATCTACCTGTGAAGGAGCAACGTTTGGTCGATCAGTCAGAAATTATTTTAATGTTTTTGGAAATAAGGAGAAAGTGATCATTGATAAATTTATTTAAGAGTTGCTTTCGGAGAAAAATACGATTTCCTCTTATTTGATGCACAGCCTATTGCTTCTAGCATTTCTCATATACAGTGCTTCACAAAAACGCTTTGTTAATTGGAATTGGTGATCGTGTGATACAACATTTTGAAGATATTTATAAGTTCTTTATAAATGTAGAATATAAAATCACTGTCTTTCAAAATGGTGGACAGTCAAGCTGTCAAAGTTGATAGTTTTTGTACATTGAATCGCTTAGGTATACCTCAACGACTGGTCAAAACTTTACAGTATGTTATATCCATCGTTCTCTTTTGGAAGGGTCTATTTAAAGTAGGAAAACATCGGACACTGAGATTACAAAAACGGAGCTATTTTTACATTTTTTTTTTAGATAGAATGTTCCATATTTTATTACATATTTGAAGAGAAGAATATACTACAGTTTTTTAATGTTTGGTTGTTGAGTTACAAGGAACTCGATTTACAAAAACCCTTTGACAGTATGTCATTTCACTATTTTATATTCTAGGATTCTAAAGTACTCGTATGGAGCTTCAAAATGGGGTATCACACCCAGCATTCCATTGTTCCATATGGATCCCAGCCGTCATATTGAAATTTTTAGCTGCGACATTTACGCTAAAAACCCAATTTCTAAATGAAAAAGTCTTTACCAACTGTCTCAGAAGGAGGATATGTAGGTAAAACATTCTATCTCACGGGCTACAGGCCAAACGGCTTGGTGGATTTTGACATATAAGGTATTGTTGGATTCGTTTTAGCAGTGCGACTGACTCTGGGTACATTAAAATTTTATCAAAATAAAATGGCGAATTTTAACATATGAAAGTCAAACATCTCAATAATTGTAAGGCGAGTTTAAATCAAAAATTTCAACAGTGAAATGTCTATTTCACGAGCTGCAGTTTAAACGGCGTGATGAATTTTGACATATGAGATGTCTATGGTTTTGTCTTAATAATGTGAGTGACACTGAGTATATTAAAATTGTATACAGTCAAAATGGACAATTTTCAAAATTACAGCCCAAACGCGTAGATGGATTTTGACATTTTATAGCTCAGCTAAAGCTTCATTCTTCTCAGTTACTGCAGTCGGGTTTTTATGTATTTTTTAAAATTGATATATCTTACGTTTCCTTCTCCTTTTGGCTCAAATTTCAGTGGGAGTTTTATGAAGTACTCTGGTGGTACCCTCAAACTTTTTGCATATGGTATACTGAATACTCCTACTGGATTTAACAGGTTGTACATTATATCGATATCATTATCTGAAAATGATAATTTACTGCTGCGCTGCGTGGTGGTATAAAATGGAGGCGACAAGGGAGAGAAGGTACATTGAAAAATAATACGAAACACCTCCCTTTGCTTAGACAAAGGGTCACATCTTGACCTCTCAGCAATCATTTTTTTTAGTTATTGTTGTATAACATGAAAACAAAACTACAGCATGACATAGTTCAGCAGCTTTGGTATCGAGGTGCTGTCATTTCCAATAAATGAGATGAGATATCTGGACATGAACCAACGGCGCAAACACTAGAAAACTAAATAAACAAATGCGAAAATAACTAATATCAGTCTTTACACAACAAATGGTACTGAAAAACTAGTCACTAGTAAAATTACAAAAGTATCATATCTTGCGGAGCTCTACAGTTTAATACGAGACAACGGATGACTTGAGTGACGCTTTGGAATCACGAATTGCACACACAATAATAATAAAAAGTCATCATTTGTTAGCTGATTGCCTTCAATTTATCATCATTTACATTGCCATTGGAAATAAAATACGTGTGCCATTTCTAATTAAGAATCCCATCTCTAGGTGTTGCAATTTTTATAGTGAGTGTTTGATCAGTTGCTTTTTATGCGATTACATTACAAACAGAATCTTCGCCTTAGGTGGTTCATTTTGTCTACCTACCGGTACACGCCAAGCAAGTACCTAAGCTACTAAACTCTATCATAAGAGATAATTTTGTCTTACTGCTACTAATATGTAGAGTATTCACTAAAATGGTTTCTTGATCGATTATTTATTGTTGTTGAAGATATTCCAATCGAGATCCTCCCTCATATCGTGTATTCACCAAGAGCGCCGGATGAGAATCCATTATAATTTTTATTGGGATTCTCTAAAATCCATTGAGTATCAAACAGAAGTGGTTTATATAATTCAGTTGCTTAGTAAAATTTGATCAGTCAGCAAGAAAATTTTACACAGAGGATACCCGCCCAAACTAAGGGATTCCTCCATTATTAAAAGATGTAGGGCTCGTATAATGGCTAATAGTGGTCAGTGTGAATACTGAATAAAAAGATACTATCATTAAGTCGATCCGGCCGTTGCTTCTTCTTTTGTGTCATAAAAGCTGTTTACTTTCCTACGCCACCCATGCAAAGTATGTTAGATAAGTAATTACAGCTCAATACAGCGTTGTTTCTAAACTGCGCTGTATCCCGAAACGTCTATAGGAACTTTCGCGTTATTTTTCAATGTACTTTCTGTCCTAGAAGTATTGCCGATGCTTACGTTAGCACCCATTTCTAGAACAATTTAATTTTATAAACGCTTCTATTTGAGCAGTACTCATTCATGCCCTTTTATACAGATATAACATTCAAATTATCAGTTGTCTTACACTGTATGTTTTGTATAACAATATATTTTATAATGCTCATTCCAATTGCCACAGCTCCAAAATCGAGCCTTTGCAATTTGAGATTAATAGTGAAGTCTGGTTTCACCACAGTATACTGTGCATTGACATATAGTGTGTCTGTAGTCTTGTACATATCTTCACTGCGATAGTTTACCGTACACGTCAGCTTTGCCGATATTTCGTAAGGCTCTAGAGATCTCCAGTAAATCATTTCGGCAGGAAAAAAGTCCAAGTAGTCTATGACTATATCGTCGTCATTGACTATAATTTCAGTTTCTTCTGGATCTGATTTACTGGCCTCTAAAAACAAGTAGAGGTAATAATCAATCTAAAAGAGAAAAGCGTCCCACCCTGTATGAACGAAAATGGAAAGATAATGTTGATGCTCTCAAAGTATGCCCGAAAATGGACTACATATTTACTTTACATATGTTGATTATTATTTTGAAATTTTAATGGCGATTCATAATTTTTCAGGTGACTAAACTGAGGAATCTATCAAAGCTTCAAAACTGGCATTGAAGTTTTTTTAAAATTTACCCTGCTCCTCCTTTAAACTGGATTTTCGTGGCTCGTGATCCTGAGATGCAAAATATACTCGTTAATAGAATAGAAAATGCTAACGTTCTAGAGTTAAAAAACTCGGACGGAGACGTCAAACCACAAGCAACCAGTTGCAAAATTTAGTACACCATTGGTTTTTTCACTTCTTCATTGTAGACAGTTTTCTCAATCAGAAATATCTCATTCTTTACGTATGCAGCATTTGTAATTAGAGACTTATAGCAATCACAAGTCCTGTTTGCGTAAACATTAACGTTAAACCTTATTTGACATTTAAGTCAATGGGCGTGTCTAATCCGCAGGGGTATTACGTAACTTGACAAATGACATGTTGGTTTTTTTGACATAATGTAGGTTTTGTACCTACAAGCTGTCAACTAGAAACGAGTCTTCGTTCACTTCGTGCTCACTTGTAGCAGGCGCCGAATGAACTATCTGCACACTACCAGCTATCTACTCAACAAGTTGATATTTTGCTGTTTTTTATATAGGTTCTTTTACGAAATAACCCTGGCGGTTTCATCATCAAAATACACATAAAGCGCCTTTAGCAGCGCTTTTCGTGAAGCAACTACGAGCGTCAGCCGCATAAAGCCTCATTTGTCAAACATTGTTCAGCAGTTTTAGCGCTGTACTGTTTTTAGACGCATACATCGGTTTGTATATATGAAAAACAATGGTTAACTTTTACATACACGGTATTTGTATTTGCTAAAACTCTCATCTCACCTCATCTCACTGACTGTTACCTGAATTATGTATCTTGTTAGACCTGGAATTTTTAGATTTAGCCTTCTTTGGCGAATCATCCTTTGATTTCTTCTCCTTTTTACTTGTCGCTTTGCTTTTCTTTACCTTTTTATCTTTGTTTTTACATTTTTTTGTAATCTTCTTCAACTTGCTTTTTTCAAATTCTTGTTTCCTCCTCTCATATATCTCATTATACTTTATTATCATTGCTTGCGTCACTACTAATTCCTCCGGAACTGTCGGTTTTGCCATCAGTATTATCTTCTTCCGCTATTGATATTATACAGAACATAACGTTATCCATCAAAGTCCAACTTCTTAGAACTGGACCATTGGAAATGAATGCAAATTTCATAAAGCGATGAATGGATACAGAAGACTAAATATAAAAAATTTTGACAAGCCACATATTTTCACACTTTCATAAATCCTGGCATCTAATCAATATTTTGGCTTTGGACATGGGACATAAAAATCGTTACTTGGGTAATATTGTACAAACCAGTAGAAAAAACTTGGTCCAACGACTACACGTACTTGTAACCTTAGTGCATACACATATGTACCTTTGCATCGAACAAATGATGGACATGCTATAAAATGAACAAAATGTTTCTAAGATTAGAATACCTCTCCATTCTTGAGGACACCGCAGCTAGGTTCAGCTTTGACCGCATTGTTGTCTCCTGTTATCCTAAAAAAGGCTTCGTAACCTGGCAGCTTACTCGGGTGCTTTCTCGACAAAAATTCTTCTGCTACAGCTCGAATTTCGATCTCTACGTAAGAAAATGATCCGCACGGCGTATTTGGAAATATTATATATTGACTTGATAATTCCACCAAGGGACGTATAATTTTTGCTTGCAAAGTTAACTGCACACCAGTTATGGACTTTCTCGAAGGCTCTGTTGAATGAGATGATAACCCTGCGATCATGTGTCTATGCGCCTTTGTTTTGCCCGGTGTTTCATCAAATTCACCTGTAAAGAGCAAATCCAGGTTACCTGCAGATCTGAGAGGGCTTGGTAGCCAAGTGGTTAGCGTATCGAGCTGGTAAGCCATGGACTCAAAGGCTCACAGGTTCGAATCTCCGCCTCTGAAGCTAATTTCGAGCCAGGGATGTTCTTTACCCCTATACGAGGGGGTATAAAAAAAGGAATTATTTTTTAAAAGCTATTTATTTTCAACTTTTACAATGTAGCCTTATCTCCTTCAAAATACTGTCCACTACAACTAATACACTTGTCCCACCGGTGCTTCCACTGTTCGAAACATTTTTTGAAGTCTTCGTTAGAACTGTCTGACAGCTCCTCCCTCGTTTTTTTTCTTGACCTCTTCAATGTCGTCAAAGCGGCTTCTTCATGCCCCTTTTCATCCGTGGAAATAAGAAGATGTCGCACGGAGCCAGGCCAGGCGAATAAGGTGCGTGAGGCAGCGGAACCATGCCATTTTTAGCCAGAAAATGTCGAACAGAGATGGCTGTGTGCGCAGGGGCATTATCGTGGTGTAAGAACCAGAGTGCCACAAATCGGGTCTTTTTTGCCGAAAACTGTTTCGCAATCGTCTTAAAACTTCCAAATAACACAGGCTATCGAATTTTTTCAACATTTTCGTCGATTCGGGCAGTTGATGGATGTCCGGTGCGAAGTTTGTCATCAATCGACATGTCGCCAGTTTTAAATCGAGCAAACCACTCGTACACCTGAGTTTTTCCCATAGCATCATCTTTGTAAGCTATTTTCAACATTAAAACAGTTTCAACAGCATTTTTACCAATTAGAAAGCAAAATTTCACAGCTGCACGTTGCTCACTGAAGGTTGCCATCGTGAAAAACGAAACCAGCACCAAACAGTTCTAGCAAAAATAATGACTACAGAGGAACAAAACAAACAAGATCGACAACTCAGGTGGCACTCAACTGGTAATGAGTTGCGCCGTACGCCTCTAGGGGCAAAAATGTGTACTACACAAGCTCCGCCCACTGCAATGCTATTCCGGTTATTTTTGGGTGCTTCCTCGTATTACACATCAGATCTGTGTAAGATCAACAGCTAAATCGCATCGCTGGATCTGGTTTATTCAATAAATAATGAGTTACAATAAGTCATATACAGATACAATTTTGGTACAACGGGGTCGACAAAAAGTGTCAAAGGTGGTCTCAGCACCACTACTACTACCTGAATATCTACAATTAGACATTCCAGAAACCGGCACGGCGGCAGTGGTGTCATATTGTAACGAAAACACCGATTTTTCTGTCCAAAGTCTATTACTGCTGCACTAATTTATAACAATTTTTAGCTATTTCGACACTTACCTTCTTATTACCGTACTGATTAAGGTATTCTCGAATACGTTTATCAACGATATCTGACAGTTGAACTTTGTTTTTAAATGATGCCATTTTTTTATCGATGAAGTCAATGATTAATTTCATGACGAAAAGTTTCGTTATCACTAAGGGAATCTGAATGAAACAATTTACGTAGCTTAAGATATAATATATTTAACAATGTTTTTCAATACCTGGACCTCGTGCATATAGAACGTCAATCTTTTCCCTTTTCGGGAACCACGCAGATCTTACGGCGGAAACACATTTCTTTATGTCTCCGTCTAAGTGAACGTTTGAGAGTTTTTTCATTTCTCTTATTACCATGGCAAATGATTCTTTCAATCTTTTCAAGTTGAGTTCCTGTAAAATATTCATAGTTACAGGGCTAGCTCTAAAGGTGGGTACTAACCGACGCTACGAGGTGTAGTGTAACATTCGCACCGAATATGTTCGCATCGCGTATGTCTCAGCCAAGATGTCTGACGAGGAGGTTGTGTTGGGATCTCTGATTCTGCTAAATTATTGTTTATTCCATATTAAGAAGAAGAAAAAACGTTATTGGACGTCAGACTTATTCAAAAACAGACACGTATCGGGTGTTAGTGGACAGTATAAAAACTTGCATGTCTGCGATCGATTTTGAAGAACTCGTGAATTTAATTGGACCAAAAGTACATAAAAAGGATACAAATTATAGAAAAGCAATCAGTGTCACGGAAAGATTGGCACTAACACTACGTTTTTATGCTACAGGAGATTCATATACTAGTATGCAATATCTTTTCAAGATTTCAAAGCAACGGATAGGATTTATAGTGAAAGAGGTCAGCGAAGCTTTGATTGGAGTATTAAAAGATTACGGAAAGGTAGGTACTGTTTTAATTAATCCAGAAAAAGTATTCATTACATATCAAGTTAAATCAGAAAATTCTGATAGAAATTGTTCACTCGAAGCTGGAGACCCACAGTCAGTTTGATCAGGCGTATGTGAAGCAGGTGCTTCAGAGCTTAGCTGTGGCATCGATGGAGCTCTTGAAATTGTTGGTCGTGTAGAGTATCCTTGTGAAGAATAGTTATAATCGCCAACATACTCATATTCTCTGCGATCAGCACTAAACAATATTTTTGATATGTAATGCTTAACATATGTTCTTGTTGTCTTTGAATAAGATCTTAATTTATTTGCCAAAAAAATACCATAGGCTTCACATTCGTCAAGTTTTTGTGAAGTTGACTCCGTTTGCTTGGTTCTCTTTTTTAAAATATTTAAGGTAGATGCCATTATCTCTTCCGGGTTGGGGGCTTCTGCTTTCTTCCTTTTTGGAGGCAGAGGGCAATCAATGTTGCTTGGCTTAGCAGATGGAGGGCACTCAGTGTTGCTTTGTTCTGAAGGACCAGCGCGTAGCTGAAAATAAACGTAAATCATTATTTCAGATGCCAGAAACACCGGAGCAATGGATGGCTGTAGCAAATGAGTATGATACTTTGTGGAATTTTCCACACTGCCTAGGCGCAATCGATGGAAAACATATTATACTGCGGGCACCGATCAACAGCGGAAGTGAATTTTATTATATTCTTCAGCATTGTATCATTAGCAGTTGTTGATGCAAAATATAACTTTTTGTACGTAAACATTGGATGTCAAGGAAGAATATCCGATGGAGGGATCTTCAACAACTATGAATTGAACGAAAAAATACAAAATAATGCACTGAACATTCCTGAGCCCACTGCCTTGCCAGCAAGAACGGAAGAAGTTCCATTTTACTTTGTTGGAGATGAAGCTTTTTCTATATCCGAAAATATGATGAAAGTATATTCAGGATATCTTGAACGTCGTTCTAAAGAAAGAATATACAACTACCGACTTTGCAGAGCTCATAGAGTGGTGGAAAATGCGTTCGGCTTAGTATCTGCAGTTTTTAGAGTTTTGCGGAAACCAATGCTGTTAGAACCAAAAACCGCGACATCTGTTGTAACAGCAATAACACTACTTCACAATTTTTTAAGAAAAGGTAATAACGCTTATGTATATACCCCTGCGAGTAGCTTGGACGAAGAAACAAATGGGATAGTCAGAATAGGAAACTGGAGAGAAAGTAACAATGATATGGCGAGTATGTTACCCTTGGAAATAAGACCGCGAAGGGCTTCAACAACTGCTCACAATATTCATAATGAAGTTGCTGAATATTACATCTAAGAAGGGTATGTCAGCTGGCAAGAAAATTATGCTTAAAATAAAACTTACCGTATCTGTTGTGGCAACAGGTGTATTTCTATCCAGTAGAAACATCGTAGTTTTGTATGCAAACCAAGTACTATGGTATACTTATAAAGCACCTGAAAATAAAGTATTTTTGGAATATAAAACATACCTATATTTATTTTATTTATGTTGTTCTTATACTAATGCTGCCCTCGTTTTGTCTTTGAATCTGACACGTGGCAGCATAATTTGACATATAACTTTAAAGTGTGGTTGAGTATTTGAGGGCTAATCGTACTGTATTATAGGAACTTAAAAATATAAAAATAATTACCTACCTTTTCCTGTACCACTTGATCTTTTTATTTTCCCTTTTTCCCTCCTCAATGACGCCAGTAAGCTTGTCATTTTCGTTTTAGACGTATTTCTTTCGCTCTCCATTAACAAAGCCAATCTATCCCAGGCGTCTTCTTTTTTTAATTTGTTGTAGTGCTCTGGATGAGCTAGATTCCACAATACCGATTCTTCTCTATATTTTTCGATGAAATGGAGAGTTTTTTCTTTGTTCCACTTCATATTCCTAATAATAAACGAACTAATAAACGAAATGAACGTGTGCGCGTGCCCTCCTCTGGTGCGCTCGTCACGACTTGTTGCAGCGAACTGACCGAACCGCGTAACACTCAAAGGATTCGCCGAAAAACCGACGGCCGGGTGGAGCACTCAAAGCGAGCAACGAGCGGCTCGTTGCTCGCTGGTTTTCCCGTAACACTACGTACTGACTCCATGAATGCTCGCTGTGTAACATGTTACATTACGCCTCGTATCGTTGGTCAGTACCCACCTTAAGTGATATTGTATAACGAACTTCAAATGCGCTGCATTCTTAGCGTCGCGTTAGAAACAGCTTATCAAGTACTACTGTAAGCTACATGAAGTAATGCCAAAAGGTGTGACGTGACGTCACTCAAGTTTTCAGGTTCTCATGGTGGTTAGGCCTTAGGCATTCGCGATGGTTCAAAAGAGCATTCCAATTTTTTTCTACCATCGTGATAAAGTTCCGCTTTATACTCTATTATGGCTAAGGATTAATCATTTTCCTACTTTTTTCTTTCACTTTCAACACATACTACTTCCACTCCTCTTTGCTCTCTTGCTCTCTCACTCTGTCTCTCAATTATTTACACAATAGTTCTCTCTTTAGTCAGTTATTATGTCATCCTCATCTTGAATTTTTATAACGTTGACCATAACCTTCAGGTCACGGTTAAGGTGAAATCCATGATGACCATTGGTCAGTCTGGGAGAAATCCTATCAACAGTACATTTTACTTGTCTGTCAACATAAGTTATAATAATATCCCACATTATCAATTCACTCTAATTGCGGGGCTTCTGTGATTTACAGAAGGTCGGAGAGAGGTTTCTTGACAATGAACTGCAAATTTTCCTTTTCGAAATGCTCAAGGACTTCGCTTTGTCTATTTTCCTAGCGAAAGGTAGGATGTACCACTAGTAACTCTGACTTCAGTTATGTTGTCCTTCCATATCTATCAATAACCCCTACTTGGGGGATTTCTGAGATCTGACAGTCAGGAAGGGGTTTCTGGGGGTTGTGTCCATTGGGACTTTATATCGCTATGTTGAAAACTACATCAGTGCAAAATTTCGACTATTTTAGCTGCAAGTCATTTTCCATACAGCGGGGATCTTTGAAAGTTAATAACACCATACCCTTTTCAACTGTTTCAAATTATTGATAGTATCTAGCTTTAAAATAATATTTTTCTGGTACTCTATCATCTGCTTCCCATTTTGGTATGCAACTGCAACATTTTCATCAGGATGAAAAAACAACTGCAGCACACGAGATTCTCCAACTTGAAGCTCGCCATATCCATAGTTTGGTAAAATTGTAATGCACTGAAATAATTGAAACAAGGAATTATTTTCACATAAACTACTCTCAAATGAAAAGGCAAAAGATTTGAAAATAGGAGTGTCAAAAATAGGAAGCATACTATTATCAGGTCTAAGCCGTTAGCGCTTGAGATTTATACGTTTGTCTACAGGCTTAAAGCTTTCGTGATATTGCGGATAACATTTTACGGCAAATACCTTCACTCTAATAGCAAAACATAACAGTTTAAAATACCTGTGGTACATTAAAGAACCCATATACTTGAGGCAACGATGTCTCGTTCTTTATCATAAATTCCGTAGAAACAGTTTCAAATAAAGAGCATTCTCCCAAATTCAAAACTGCTTCGTTAGGTCTGTATACCGTCAGGTGTTCTGACATTGGTTCTATGGTCAGGTTGTGTTCGTTGAGCAGTGCTGCATAAACGGTTGCTTGGACAGGTGGTGCGTTGAAATGGTTCTTCGATACGATGTAAATACGGATCGGGAATTCAAGAATATTATTTTCACTGTCGAAGCAAGTTGGAGGTCGTTCGAATATATCTTTCCTAAAAAATAATAACTTTAAGGAAGTTGTTGAAGGATGAACAATATGGAAGTGTAAAGAGGGGGACATGAAACATATGCTGGTCTTTATTCTAGCCTCTTTTACGCAGGTAATGTCGAATGAGATACATTTCTATAAACCTAAACTGGAAAGTGTAAGGTTCCCTATATAAAAATTCAACTCTCTCCTACCCTATTTCAAGGAAATAATTTTTAAAATTCTCTATTAGTATCTTTTATTTTAAACAAAACATACTCCTACCTGTAGGCTGGCCTAATTTGAAATATAGGCTTTTCAACCCCAAGACTGTTAACCCCAATTCGCCCTTAGGGGTGAAATTTTCAGAATTTATTAGTAAATACTCATTTATGTTATATTAAAGAATCAAATATACATATTTGTATCTCTTAAAGAATAATAGCTTGCCCATAGTAACTTTCACCCCCTATTTTAACCACTTCAAGTTTCATTTTCGCAACAAAAGGTAGACTGTTTCCGTCTCTGAGGTCTAATCTATATCAGTGCCAAAATCTATTAAAAACCGCCATTTTGTCGTGAAACTGAGGATATACCTATACATAAAAACATACACTTTCGCATTTATAATACAAAAATCGTAGGTGGTAGGCGGTCTCTGACTGTCGAACGCGGAGGTACCACCCGGCGGATCTAGTAGGCGGAGCCAGAATGCACACGTGTTCCCTCGCCAGAGTCCGTGTGGCGTTCCCCCGTTCCCCTCTAGGGGGACCCTATAGCCCCACGGTACCCAATGGGTGTTTAGGCCTTAGGCCTTCGTGGTAGTTGGAGTATAAAAAAAATGCAGTAAATGCATGATGAAACTGACCTAATTTATACTCATTTCGGCTGGACCAGCGACTGAGCGTATCCATTAAGCAGTTTGGGCTATAGCTCGTGAAATATTTCAAATGTATTTCTCTGGATAAAAAGTAGCTTATGTGGTATTCCAGACTTTAACCTAGCTGTGCCAAATTTCATCCAGATTCGTTCAGCTATTTTGGCATGATTGAATAACAAACATTCACATTTATTTTCTCATTTATAATATTAGTAGGGATGCATATTATTTTCCAGCTTGAAACCGGAAGCTTTTTCAGAGAGAAATGCAGATGAAAATGAAACTTTTGACGGGCTCTCGGCCTTGATATATATGATTTGTCGAAAAGTTTCATGAGGTGGTGTAATGGGGAAGCTGGCAAATGTTCGATTCATCTGAATAGTCTTCCATAGAAGAATCTTCTGAAAAGGAGTCACCGATGTTAGCACCGATGTTGGTATCGCCATTCGCTCCGAAGTATCTCCTGACAGATCTTACAATTTGTCGTTCCTCATCAAGGTCATTGTCCAGATCATAAATAAATAAAATCATAAATCAAATAAATCATAATTGCCTTTCCATGACGTCAGCAAAAACCTCCACTTTATCCTCAGTCCTGAAAACTATGCCTCCAGGACCATGAACATGTGGTAGTTATTCTTGCCTTCCGTTTCTAGAGAGGAATACTTGATTCAAGCATCCCCACCAGAAAGCCACACCACTTTATAGAACTTTTCTTGTGAGACTCTCTGAGGAGCTATCCACCGATGCTTTCAAAGTTAACATAGTGAAAATCAGATAAACTTGACTGATATATTCCTTTCAAATTTAATACCGCATGTGCATTTTGCTTTATTCCATTAAAATGTGAAAACCTATACTAATTTTTGGCAAATATGACCTACCTGGGAAAGAACCTGACCCAAATAGTTCTTCTTGAATCACCATTTATATAAATACTAGAAACGTTAGCACTTATGTAAGACGATACACTAGAAGGAAATCTGATGGATAATGTGTGAGTAGAAGGCGACCTGTTGAAAATATCCAGACTCAATTGCAGTATAGATTCTGTGCTGCAGACACCAAAGTCCAGAACGTCCGGTGCAACAACGATGAAATGTTCAGTTATTTCTGCATGGAAAGACAATACCTATAAAATATAAGAGTTACGAATGAGAGCGATGTCACCTTTAGGTTCATTTCTAAGTAGAGATCGACCGATGTAGAATTTTCATCGATACCGCTGATTAGCCTATACCGATATGTCAAAGGCAGATATATCGTTATTATTGACCTTTTACGCGTTTGCTCCTTTCCGTATATCGTCGGCTAACAAGTTGGTCATAATGCGTCTACGAAAACTCTGTTTTCGCTGATCAAAGGAAATACAGCTACTTCTTTGTTAAATTCTTGTGATATTATCACAAAACTGGTCTCGCAACAATAAGCCAATGCTAGCACAAGCACGTTTTTTTACACAACGTAAATATAGCTTGAAAAAGGCTATGACATTTAAGGCGCGATGCACTTCGAAAAATCATTCATGGCCCCTAGATGCCGTTTTAATGCGTTTGTTCCATCTACATCAAAGTAATGCTTAAGCCGCGTTTTTATGTGAAGCGACAATTTAACACCCGCGTGTACCGGCAGTTAGTGACACGTCATTAGTTTGAACCTTTTCTTAGACTTTTCGGTCACTAAAACACCATTTTTTTCTAGAAATTGTGTAAAATACAATTTACGAATTATACTTGAGACCACCCATAGACAAAACTACAAGTTTGTAGCGGTAAAACTCACTTCTCCAATTGTACGTCTGAAACTATTGAATTTTATACCATACTGATTTGAGTACAATACTCAAACATTTGGATAGGGTCGAAATTACTTACTTGACTACCAACGTAGTGCTCCTGACCATTTTTTTCATACACCTCTGTACAGTATTTTCCGTAATATATGCCAGCATGTTCTACGTTTTTTAATGATACGTTGACATTGACAGATTCGTGCGGTTCTAAAGTAAAAAATATGCTTTCTAGTCGGAAATATGAAGACACATTGTTAATGAGAGTTCTGATTATTTCTTCAGCAGCTTTTTCAGCATCATCCTCATATTCAGCATAATCCAGGTTAGTATCGGAGGTGGCGATTTTTTTGATGATGATCTTGCATGCCCTGGACCCATCGTTTGAAAACTATAAAGTGACAAAATGGGTTGAATAGACCCATCTTTTATAACAGTTTATCTTCGTCAATAGAGAAAGATGTTAGTCACGGTTGCCTATCAGCAGCCAGTTGCAAATACGTTCAATCCAGCTCGAAGTGTTTTTTTTGCATAATTTTGGCCGATCTCTCAAACAAAAAACACCTCTGTTGATGATGACGTAGGGAGAACCGGGCAAAGTGAACGCTCCGGGCCAAGCGAGTATCCCCCACTACGAGATCCTTAACATAAGTCATTCATCATGACCAAGCACTCCCATCCATCGACCATCGCTATTTAATAATCGTCAAACAAATATAGGATAAACTTTGGCTACCAAACAACAACATAGCTTAAGCGGGCTTACCAAGTCATATATATCAGATGAGTTAAATCGATAGTTTTGATAGGATAGTTCTAAAGAAAGTGGCGCGGGTTTAAATGCCGTATGCCAGAATGTGTGCATGCTGCATGCACACGTGTTTCTCGCTTGGGTCCGTGTGGCGTCCTTCCCTTACCCTATATCGCCCTATAGCCCCTCGGAACCCCTTGAGTGTTCAGGCCTTAGATCTTCCTGGTGGTAGGAGTATATATAAAAAAACGATTGCTAGCCACCCTCTTAGTCTTAACATAACCCTTGCCCAGGGCTGTACCTTAAACCTTGGGTTAACTTTGTCTACCTTACTTAAATCTGATATATGAACATCAAGCTCTAATCTATGGCCCACGGCTTACATTAACGTTATTAGTCACCTACCACTTGCTTGCTTTGTCTAATTTGTTTGCCAAAAATTGCTTATCATTTCTCGGAATTTATACTGATGATCATCTAAGATGGCTGTACAAATTGAGTATGTAACCAAGAAAATAAGATGCCTCATGAAAAAGCTCAAGTACCATACAAACGTTCTTAGCTTTGATTGTATGAGAGTCCTATACTAGGCACTTGTCCAGTCACATCTTTGCTACGGAGTAATTGGTTGGAGAGGGGTGGCATTCACATGTTTAAGAAACTCAGAAATTGTTTAAAATATAGTAAAGATTATTTTTGGCAAGAAAATTCATCCGTCTGACTAATTATATCACGATCCCGCAATGATGAACTGATTTTTATCTATAATACCATGGTGAATTACTTTAAAAAAAAATCTTATCATGAAAATAAATATGACACAATCCAGAAAGCGACTCTGCACCAAATAGTACCCATGTGAAAAAAAAAACACTATTACAACGCCCCAAGCTGTACAATGAAATGCCTATCGCTTACAAAACAATAAAAAATATTAGACTATTTAACAAAAGAATTTCATTGTGGATAAAAACCATCCCCAGATAGCAAAACGTAGATGCCTCTATGTAAAGCCCAGATATAGTCACCAGCCTGTAGGAATGTGATGATTATCATATATTTGTAGTGTTCTTTTTATATTCATTTTGTTTTTGCTATATACGTATTTTACTCTTCTGTTACACTTACGATAGACACGAAGCCTCTTTAGATTTATTTTTTGTTTTTGAATATTTAAATGTCGTTGAGACTCATACTTTCGTTAGTGTCAAGTTTCAACACTTTTTTAATGCGTGATTCTCAATTATTTGTGAATGTACAATTTTTTGTGTTTTAATATGCTTTACCTTCCTTTTTTATTTTTCACTTATTCATACCTAACGCCTGGTTTTAGCTTCAATGCAACTATTAACTTTAATTTTCAACAAATGCCATTTGATAACTCAATCATAAGTTGTATTTCAAAATGTCAACTTGCTCCGAATTTGCTCGCTATGAGCGCTGCGAGCGACACCATGCATAGTGATCATACTGCAAAGTCAATTGGTAGTTGAAGCGTCATGATGATTAGGTAACCAGTACAGCTACAGATCGAGTACACATCAAATGAATAACAGCCAGTTGACATCTAAATGATGTCACAAAAAACCTGTATAATCCAAAAAACGACAATGTCATTTTTTAAGATACGTAATACGGTTGCGGATCACAGGATTGAATAATACTGATAAATGCTCGCTTGGTATTATTTTGATTGGCACGTCAATAATAAAGTGAATAATGAAGTGTGCCTTCAAACACAATGAATGAATTATGCCGAAAATCGCAACTGGCAGGCTATAGAAATAAATTCAAAGCGAGTTTCTCTGACCAGACACTGTTATGGGATCTTTGCCTGTCAGGGAACTTACCTTGACAACTTTTCTGTTGTCTCCGCGAATTCTCCATTTTGGAATCGTGCCGAAATCCACGTCTTTGCAACTAATCTTCAAAAGAGCATGTACAGGTATGCAATGAATGTTGACGGAGAACTTCTCATACGATAACGTTTGCAAATTATATTTAATGAAGTATATTCTCGCCTGGACTGGTTGGTGGTCGTAATCAGGCCGGAAAATTACATTCAAAGTGACGCTGCAACCGCTTGCTAGTTTTTTGATTTCGAGAAGTGGTTTGATTTCGAAGAGAAGTATATCGTATTCATTCGGTGTTATAAGTTTGAGCATCCTGAATTTCTGTTGCTGAGGACTGGCATTTAAGATTCTCAGCTTTCTTGAGTACGTGCACCCATTCTTAAAGTTCTAGAAGAAGTATGATGTAAGTCACTCTGATTTTTGTCAACGATTTGCACAGCTACGTTGCGAACACATGATCGCGTAGGTACCAGCGTCCACGGGTCCGCATCGCAAGCATCGGCCATATAGATTTTCGATCAGTGGACGCGTCATCGGCATTAACCGCGTGGGCTGGACAATTGAACGCTGTTGAGAATAAAACGGCCGACATACACGATTGTTGAGCTTTTGCTACGGATGTACCAAGTACTCGGTTGGAACTCGGTTTCACCGAGCTTTAAATTATTCGGCCTGGTACTACAAGTCCTGAACCCCCCTGAACCTAAGACACTACCTGATACGTAATCCAAGAAACTATCGCACCATACCAAAATTATAGAGCATTTGAGTGCATCAGATGCAAAACTCTGTATTAGCAAAAAATGTAAAAACTGAGTCTTGGTCACTAAATATTTCACGTTTCCAACCACTACATGTTAGTACAATCTTACTAGGCGCAGACGTGACTATTTATTCAGATAATGACATGTGAAGTTGCGTGTTAAAAACAAAACTCTATATTTGACAATCCCTTTCAGTTGCATAACTCTCTATTCACTTTAGACCAATCATGTGCTCCCATCATGTGACTCTGATGAGCTTATCAAAAACTGTTAGGTTAGGGGTAATAATTTTTGAACGTTGAAAAGCGAATGGTTGCGACATGGATTATCCTGTGAAAATAACACCTTGTGAGACTGGGAAAGGGAGAAAACGTGTAGTTCAAACGAATTCCACCAAAACTTGTATTCGATCACTGATAAAGTCAAGCAAGATGAATGAGTCTCTGAAAAAACAATCTTCTGAAGAGCGAAAGTTAAAGGTGATGACTGAACAGAGGGTTCATATCCTGAGGGCAAACGGATTTTATTCTCTAATGAAGACTGAAAATGATTATGTACAAATATTTTCTTTCAACTGCTAGAAGAATCTATGCTTACCAAAACTATCAGATCAACAAGGTTACTTCTACCAGCAACTTCTACAACTTTATCGTAGTAGCTGGGAACTCTAGAAGCTCGGTTTCGCCCACCAATGTAAAATCGTATGTATGGCTGGAATATGAATACCCAAAAGATTCATGCAATCTGCATCCACGAGAACCTTGTTAAGTTCAAGTTTGGGGACCAAATAGAGCAAGTTCACCTCTTAGCGGATGGATGTTGTAGGCAAAATAACAACAGTACAGTGATGGCGATGATAACGTGCTCGCTAGCAAATGAAGCCTCCAAAAATATCAAAGTGGTGCAAATCAAATTTCGTATTGTTGGCAACTCATTTTTGCCATCTGATTTTAAAAGCACATAAAGAAGCAAGATATAGTAATTAATAGAAAGCAGTATGAAGCCATAATTGCAAATCATTTAAAGGTTTGAAAACTTGGTGACGATTGGCAGATATTTGACTGAAAAACAAAGACTGATGATGCCTTGAAAAAACCTAGTCAAGTGTAAGGAATCAAAAAGGTTTACATTATGCAAACAAAACGATTCTGTCACATTAAGGGGTGAAATCTTCTACAAGTCAGATATGGGCTGTGACAAAACGATAGTGAAGAAAGGAAAGAAGATTTCTTTAGTGAAACCAGATATCCAAGAAGTTGGCAATACTTTAAGATGCGACAAATCTTCCAAAGATTCCTAAGAAACATTATGGAACAGACTGGAGAGTCAATCCAGATCTCCGCTTATTCAAAATAATAGATGTACGTCTAACTCAGATATCTGCAGACGATGTTAGAGATGATTATGATCCGGAAGATCTCAGAGTTTGACTGGAAATTAATTATACGTCTTTTTTATGTTCCGTTAAATATTCCTACAAAATAAAAAATCAACTTTGCAGTTTTGTACCAGCTTTGCATATTTCTCATGCAAATGTCTTTATTTAGATATATAAATACAGGCTTTGGCATCTAACATACTCATTTTTGCATGATTTGAGTGATTTTGTAATAAAATGTAGAACGCCTTCTCCAGTAAGCTATACTATAACTATCTAAAACTGTAATGACTCGTCGATGTTCACGTGAACATCACTTAACTACCAGTAGTCGGCTGTTTATAGGCGGGGTATGAATGTTTAACATGGGTGAACTAGATTTGTCACATGCTTAATAAAGAGTCGTTAGAAACATATTGTAAGTCAAAAATTTGGGAATTACCTTTATTCATCGTCGCTTCCACTTACATCTGACAGTAATAAAGTGTCGCTATCGCTTTCCTCGTTGAAATTCACTATGACTGGCTCTATGATGGTGTCGATGTGGTGGTCAAGCTGCCACATTTTTGTTTCTTCCTTCACAACATGACGGATAGCATTCTGCCAAGCTTCGGGCGTTACTAGCTCTATGGAAGTCTCAAGTAAAACCTTAACGTCTGGTAATTTGAAGGTTGTGCTATGGCGCGCAATATAACCCTTCACTTGAGCCCAGATGAGCTCTATTGGGTTCAGTTCACAGTGGTAGGGCGGTAACCGCAGCACAGTGACACCACATTGACGGGCCATCTCATCAGTCACGTAACTAATGTTCGCAGGTTTGTGCTGTTTAATTTTTTCATACAATTCCGCTTTCACACATGAATCGTCAAACGGGATTCCTTTTTCGGGCAACCATTGCTGCATGTCACTTTTTCGAGATCCCATAGTCGGTACACGTTCGGCTCGACGACTATGGTAGGAAGCATTATCCATGACGATCACAGAGTTGGGCTCAACTCGCTGAAGCACCCCTTGAAACCATCTCTCGAAGCAGCTGGCATTCATTTCGTCATGGTAATCACCTCCTTTCTTAGAGACGAAAATCGAGTCACACTCTTCTAAAAAGCCACTATCGCTACCAATATGAGTTACGATCAATCTTTGACCTTTCCCTGACGGTCCACGAAGAACTGTTGACAAACCTTCAATGCTTGCTTGTCGGTTACTCACTACGTTTTTGTCTATCCAGGTTTTTTTAACTGTGTGACCTGCATTTACCCATGTCTCGTCCAAATAATAGATTCTTCTGCTTTGTCGCCTATATTCAATCATTTCGCGTAGGTATTTTCGACGCCAGGCGACTATTTCAGGTCTCTCTATCAATACTGACTTCCGCGTTTCGTAACGAAAATTAATTTCGTGCAGGGATTTCCTCATTACCTCGACGCTCATTTGGGGTATAATTTCATTTTCCTTGATCGCTGCATGTACAGTCTTGAGGGTTCGTATCTCATTCCTAAAGAAGAATGAATGTACGGTTCGCCTTAACGCCATTTTGCTATCGTCATCCAATTTAACGGCCTTTCGTCCCTTCAAATTAAACTTTGGATCACTAGTAGCTCCAGTTTTCTTCTTTTCATACACCACCCTGCGAATGGTCCACTCTGGAACGCCTGTCATACTTTCACAACGCGCGAGTGCATCTCCCTGCGACATAGTTCTGTTCAGATAATTGAACACGTTGAGGACGATTTCTTTCGCGTCCCTCTTCAGTGCTTTACGAAGCCGTCTACTTGTTCCCTGGCTTTCAGTACTTCCATTCGTGCCATTTGTACTTCCATGGTTAAGTATAACCAAAACAGTAACCACAGAAACCACAACAATAACAATCACACAACAATTTTTATAAAAACACACAATATGCGATCGCTCAACGAAACACGTTCCAATGCGTTGCCGACGCCTATGAATCTTCCGGTCGAGGCGCGTCTTTGATTTCATTGGTTCTACCGGCGGAGAACAATCAGCCATTAATTCCTGTCTGTGCTGTTGACCACCGCAAAGCCACAGAAACGACATATGTCGTACGCTATACGGTTGTACTGGAAGGAAGCCGGGATCGAGCTCTGATCACGTGTTGATCACGCGTATGAGTCATTACAGTTTTAAATAGTTGTAGTATAGTGCTTACACTATTTACATGGCTTACTTTTTATATACAGGATGATACTATTACATAATTTTTCGTAAAAGACGCTGTGCTTAATCCGAAACCATATTGTAGTATTGCCTTTTTGCGTTTTCTGTTTGTCAGTTAGTCTTTCTTATGGACACTCAAAAAATAACAAACCCTAAAAAAATAACTAAAAGAAAACGCAGGAAATGTCAGTAATAATAGTAAGGTCTATTACGAGTTTTCCAAGTTTTGTTATTGTTATTAGACGTTTTTCTACACCCTGGTTATTTCAGGTCATGGTACAAATATGGGTTGTTCGAAAATTCCGAAACCAGGCCTGCCTTCAATAGTTGCATACATCAGTAACAACGCTTAGACTTTCTGTAAAGTTTGCAAAATTCAATTGTTAACAGTAGTTTTCGGGAAGTACTGAGGCAAGCTACTTGGTTCCATTTTCTAAATAATATCTAATGATTCGTGAGAAAAAAATTTGAAATTTTATCCTTTCGCAAAAGTGTGGTTATAAACAAATAAATTGATGACATCATTCAAAAATAGTAATTTTCGTGGAAATAGTGTCGCGTGCGACTACTAATGGCCCATGGGCTATTAAACTACTAAAATATCGCATGGAGAGCTTTTGTGAAAATATTTATATTTACCATTGACACAATTCAGGCCGAATGACGATATGATTACATAGTGAGCACATCTAAATATGCATTATACAGGGTGTTTCAGTTTATTGTTGCATAACTTTAAGATTCGATAGAACTTTTAAAATTAATGCATTCAGTTTATATAAACATCGGTCGAAAAATGCGTGTCTTCCGAAATACAGGGTGTTTAAATTTACTTTTTAAAATAGTTTTTTTTAAATATTTCGAACAATATTTGATGTATAACAGTGAAAATTGGTATACAAGGGTTCCTTGGTACGACAAAACGAACCATGGGCATAGTTTTACTGTAGCCGCTAGAGGGCGCTCTCTACTGTACCTGTAGTGTATTAAAATGACCGAAAATTTTTTCTTAGTGCAACTTTTGCTTTTTGAATAAAAAACTAATTCTTCACACTTTCCTGCATAAAAAAGCTCTCCTGTGAGTTTTCGTTATAGTTAGCCGTTTTTGAGATATTTCGATTTTTAAGGTTCGATGCATTTTTAATTATTTATGGGAAAAAATAATATTTTTTTACATTTTCGATTTGGGCATTACAAGTAATTAAGATGATCGTTTAGATTGTGTTTTTAAACACAGCAATAATTCCTAACTCCAAATAAACACAAAAAAACATTTTCCAATATTATTTTTACCAAATTAAATTAATTATTTACAATTAAAATGCTATTGGATAGTTAGGACAAACATACAAAATCTAAAGTAGTTGCTCGAAATGTAAACCCAATTGTTCAATACACAATTCACATCTACGAATGATCCAACGTGGTATAGCATTATTCAAATAAGGCCTTATTTCATCACATGCATTCCTGATTCTGTCTATTAGCATATCTCTTGTGGTTACGGGAGTCTGGTACACTTTTTCTTTTAGAAATCCCCACACAAAGAAATCTAATGGATTTAGGTCAGGGGATCGTGGAGGCCAGGCGACTGGTCCGATCGGCCGATCCATCTTTCTGGATAATTTTCGTCCAGCCAGTTTCTAACTATTCTCGAATAATGAGCTGGACAACCATCAAGCTGGAACCAGGCCAATCTTCTTAAATCTAACATAACATCATCCCACATATTTGCATGTTCAGCCTTTAAAAATTCCAAGAAGGTCGCAGCATTTAACCTTGCAGGCAAAAGGTAGGGTCCAAATATTCGATTATGGTAGATACCAATCCACACGTTCACACTAAATTCATGCTGAAAATTTCTTTCCCGAACTGCATGCGGATTTTCATGCGACCAAATATGTTGATTATGAAAATTTACCACTCCACGTCTAGTGACTCATCGGTCCATAAAACGTTACTTAAAAACTCCCTATTATTATCAGTTCTATCAAGAATCCACTGACAAAATGTGATTCTTCGTTCTCCGTCCTTGGCTGTAGTCCTTGCACAGGTTGCAAATGGTAAGGACGTCTATGGTCATTTCTAAGAACACGGTGAACTTTTCTTGCTGAAATTCCCAAGGCACCTGACACTCTCCTAACACTTGTGGTCGGATCTCTATCAAACTCACGCAGAATCATACGGGTAAATCTGCGCTGACGAACATTAATGTTTTGATCCGTTTGGAGATTTCCAAAACCATTTTCAATTATTTGGCGATGCACTCTTACAAATACTGAGCGAGTTGGATGCCGTCTGTTTGGAAATCTTCGTGCGTATTCTCTGGCTTCTTCTGCTGCGTTTCCATTTACAAAGCCATACAAAAAATGAATATCCGCTAACTCTTGATAGGAGAATAAAAATGGCATTTTTATAAAACTTACAAAAAAATACAGGTAAAAGAAACTAAATTTCGTGCATTCACAATTGCAAAAAAACGTTTCAGGTTTCAACAGACAACAAAACTAACTGTCAACTAATTGACGTTTAACCTTATTCTGCTTTCAATTTCAAAAATATTTGCAGGCACAGCCTACTTCTAAAAATTATCGAGTTACTGACTTTTTAACGTTATTTTATCATAAATAATTAAAAATGCATCGAACCTTAAAAATCGAAATATCTCAAAAACGGCTAACTATAACGAACATTCACAAGAGAGCTTTTTTATGTTGAAAAGTGCGAAGAATCAGTTTTTTTATTCAAAAAGCAAAAAATTGCACTAAGAAAAATTTTTCGGTCATTTTAATACACTACAGGTACAGTCGAGAGCGCCCTCTAGCGGCTACAGTAAAACTATGCCCATGGTTCCTTTTGTCGTACCAAAAAACCCTTGTATACCAATTTTCACTGTTATACATCAAATATTGTTCGAAATATTTAAAAAAAACTATTTTAGAAAGTAAATTTAAGCACCCTGTATTTCGGAAGCCACGCATTTTTTGACCCAAGTTTATATAGTTTCTATGCATTAATTTTAAAAGTTCTATTGAATCTTAAAGTTATGCAACAATAAACTGAAACACCGTGTATATAGTCTCATTGATGTATGGTTCCTCATGCATTTTACAAATTTCCTTACTCCCGCCGCGCTGGTAGCGAGTCGATCCTTTTACTAAACTATTTCCTTATTGCAAACAAGCAATTACTCCATCGAAAATTCATTGTTGGGTAGAACCGATAGGTCCGAATCTTTACAGATTACGCGTCGATTTACAGCTGTAAACGGCGGTGCGCGCTATCACCGGCGCCGTAGCAGTTGCTTATGTGTCGGAGGCTGAAAATTTTACTGGGGAATTTTGCGCGAGTGTATCTTCTGGGTTACCAATTCTGTGATTTAACGCCCGTGTGTATCTGTAGTTATTTCAAATCGTCGGTTGGCTGACATTCTGATAGCTGCACATACAGTGTACTACCATAATTAATCTAGTGCGACTAATTCGTGCGAAGAGTACTTGTGAATAATGATTGCAATGATTGTCTTTATACTGTAACTAAAGTTTATCAGAGGAGTCAAGGGTTCTGGAAGTAATTTATAGTTACACCATACTATTCCCATGCCTCTCAACTTACCTCAAAATACAAGACACTAGGAATGCATATCAACTCATTTTTGCAGTCCGGCAAACTATCAACATTTCGCGGATCTCGCATTATATGACGGTTCTCTAACATTTCGTTGAATAAGTTGAATTCTTTAATCAAATCAGACATTTTTCCTGTTAAGTCTGCAGTGCTTTTTTCTCTGTTACTGCCTACAGGAAACGCAGGTAAAATCAATGGAATTTCCTATAAAATAGCGAGTGACAAAGGGGCTCACAAAATCAATGATTGTTGTTACCTTGGGACCTTTCCTCTTTTTACTCTTATTAGATTTGCTTTTTTCAGTATTTTTGCTACTTTTATGTTTTCCCTTCTCGTCTTTGGGCATTTCAGGTTCATCTTTCCCATTTTTTTCAGAAGCTTCTTTCTTATCCTTTTTTTTCGGTTCGATATATTCTTCAGGTATCTCAACAGTCTCAGGCTCTGGGTATCTAGGTTTCTAGTAAAATGCCGCAGATAAAAAAAGTGACAAAACAGCACAAACTGAAAAGACTTAATAACACTGGACAACAAATTTTAGTTTTTTAATTGTATCTTGTGGGAAAAGTGCACTTCTTTGTTAATTTTGGGGCGCTGAATCCAAAAATGACAATGAATTAAAAAAATTAGTTGCGGTTTAGAAAAAAAACTTTTTATTTTTAAGGATATATTAAAAAAAGTAACAAGATTCATTTACTTATAAGAATCACTATATGCGCTGTCTTTTTGCTGTTCTTTTATGGATCGTTTCTGGAGCATCTCTACCAACAGTCCAACAGTAGTCTGCAAGCATGGAAGGATTCCACTTTCCCTGGTACCTTTTTTCCATTGTTGAAATATCCTGATGGAAACGTTCGCCGTGCTCATCACTTACGGCTCCGCAATTGTCAGGAAAAAAGTCCAGGTGTGAGTGTAGGAAATGTATCTTAAGAGACATATTACAGCCCATTTTTTGATACGATGACAGCATATTTTTGAGAAGGGTTTTATAGTTGTCAGCTTTTCTATTTCCCAAGAAATTAGTGACCACCAGACGGAAATCATTCCAAGCAGTTTTTTCAATACCTGTTAAAGTGTTTTCAAACTGTGTATCTTTCAAAATATTTCGAATCTGTGGCCCAACAAAAATACCTTCTTTAACCTTTGCCTAACTTAGTCTTGGAAATTTCTGACGCAGGTATTGAAAAGCTGACCCATCTCTATCTAATGCCTTGACAAAGTTTTTCATTAGGCCCAACTTGATATGCAGTGGTGGTAATAAAATTTTTTTCGAATCTACTAATGGCATATGCTGTACATTTTTTTGACCTGGCTCTAGGAATTGACGAACAGGCCAGTTTTGTCTGGTGTAATGAAGTGCCTTTGCCGACTGTCCCATTCACACAAAAAACAGAAAACTTTGTGTAGCCTAGCTGCAGCCCAAGTAAAAGTGCAACAACTTTCAAATCGCCACAAGTATGCCATTGGTGCTCATCGTATTTTATGCATGTCAATAGGTACTTCATATTGTCATATGATTCTTTCATGTGAACTGCATACCCTATAGGAAGAGATGGTAAAATATTTCCAATATGCAATAACACTGCCTTTAAACTCAATGTTGAACTGTCTATAAGCAATCTCCATTCTTCTGGGTTATAGTTTATATCTAAAGCCGCCAGTAAGCCGTTAATGTTACTGCAGAAAACCAAGTTATTCTCCATATTGAAAAATGGTTCTAAGTCTTTGTGGCGTTTACGAAAAACACATACCGAAACATCGTCTTCTAACAAGTTCCACTGCTGCAGTCTTGATCCAAGTAACTCTGCCTTACATTTTGGAAGTTCTAAATCTCTTACAAGGTCATTTAATTCTGACTGTGTTATTTTGTGCGGTTGGTGGCATGACGTGCTCGGTATAAAATCAGGATCTCTTGACGTTGATGGCATATCTTCTTCCTGACGAATCACTCGATCGCCATGATCTGATTCGTTTTCTGATTCGCAAGTGTAGGATTCTGGGGGTTTTGGAATAGGATTTTCGTCACTGTGAGGCACAGGTCTCATCGCAGATGGTATGTTTGGGTAATTAATAACCGATTTTTTTTTCTTGGAAATACCTGTGGCTTGTCCAACACAAGGTACCATGCAAAAGTAACAATCATTAATATGATTTGTAGGCTCTCTCCAAACCATTGGGACAGCAAAGCGCATAGACCGTTTTGTGCCATTTAACCAGCTGCTCAGACTTAAAGCACATGTATTACAGCAGATGTGGGGTGCCCACTGTTTGTCTTGATCACCTAGTTTACAACCGAAATAAAGGTGATATGCCTTTGGTATTAGTGGAGTAATAGACCGTCTCTGAGACGCAAAAGTCACATCACCACACACGTAACAAAACTGATTTGGATTGTTTACACACTTTCGAGACATCTTGCATGAACGCTGTCAGCCAACTGAGGAAAAAATGGCTAATATAAAACAATATAATGTACACGTATGTATAACGTAACACAATCATGCCGATTACATCATCTTTCCTTGCCGAATTTAAAAATGTAGCACGTGCATTCTTGTTAAGTACAGTTATATTAACACTGTCACAGCAGGAACACATATAATTACCGTATCTCTAAAACTTGAACTAATATTGAAAAGTAAGTTTCATTCCGGTTTTAGCACATTAAAAATAGTAATATTTTGTTGATTTTATTTAGGATATTTTTTGGCCGTTGATCAGTGTAATTGATGCAGTTGGGTATTATGAAGATATAGAGTAGCGGTATGCACGTGTCCTTGTTTTTCCGCTTCCTATGTTATTAAAATGATTTTTGCTGTGTACTAACACTACCATTTGTTCAACGAATAGTTTTCCCCGACTTTTCTTCAGTTAATCCGTTTGCTTCTAGCTTAGTCATTGATATTTTAATTAGTCAGTCACTTCTCAGGAATTTTATATTAGATTTAAAGCATCGTGTAGTGGAAGGTTGAGACAAAATTGCCTTAAAATTATAATGAAATGCGAGAAGTGTTAGTACTAAAGCGAGTGATCAAAGGAGGTGTTCTGTTACTTAAGTTGTGTAGTTTATGTTGAGCAAATTACCAGGATAATCTTTTCTCCGGCGATTTTCATCCCCTGAATGATTCGATCATTCTTCTTGACTTTATAGTCATATGTTTTCTTCAGATCTTTATCAATCTGCTTCTGCCTGTCATCTTCTCTAACCATTTTTCTTAGAAAATTCAAAACATTGTTCTTTCTTTTAAAATAGTTACTATGTTGTACCTTTTGGTAACATATTATTTTATCAGTTGCTTTTTTTCTGGCTTCGTTTTTTAAGGATAACAAAGCCACATTGTATTTGTCGCAGAAGGCATCTATATACCTGGCGTAATGTTTTTCTTTATCTTTTTTGGACTTGTGTAGCTTTTGCTCTACAGTCACCTGCCTTACTTCTCTAATTTTATCCTGAAATGTCAATTTGTGATCCAAGTATTTCTAAGATGGTGGTTTACAAAAATGTTAGAATGAGTTTCATGAAAAAGATTCCACCTTTAAGGTCTCTAATAGAATATTAAATACGAGGGTCTGTCACAAAATGGACAATAGTGAATTTCAGCTAATCTACCATAAATGCAATCGTGTGACGACTTCGAAGGAGTGCTTTGCCTTGTTCATCCGCAATAGAACGAAACATGGGTTCACCAGAACACACCAGAGACCAAGCAGCAGCCAAAACAGTGGGTTACTCTGGGCGAATCGGCACCGAAGAAGGCCAAGGTGGGCTTATCAGTCAATAAAGTCATGGCCACCGTGTTTTGAGATGTACGCGGTATAATCCACATTGATTACCTTCAAAAGGGAATAACAATCAACGGCGAATATTATGCCAACTAATTGGACTGATTCAACGACGATGAAGAAAAAATGACCACATACATATGTGCAAGAAGAAATGTTATTTTCCATCAAAGCAATGCTCGTGTTAACACATGTGTAGTCTCCATGGTGAAATGGCATGAATTGGGCTATGAATTGCTCCCTCATCCGCCTTATTCTCCGGCTTTAGCCCCAAGTGCCTATTTCTTGTTTCCAATCCTAAAGAAATGGCTCTGAGAAAAGAGATTTGACTCCAACCATATTTTCTGGAAGGAAGAAAAAATGGAGAGGCGTTAGACGAACTGTATAGAGCTCAAAGGAGTCTGTATTGAGAGATAAAAGGATTTTTGTGCATCGAAAATAGAGATATCATAGGCGTGGCTAATGAAATCAGGTAAACATGCAGTCAAAATTTTGTTGAAGTTGCTGTGATGTGGAATAATGCTCGAACTTTCAACATAAATGAAAATTCGGCCTTGTACCGAGAGGTGCCCAACAAAAGTGGCACTCCCAGGATTCCAAACTTGGTGGGAGGGGGGTGGTTGGTAAAGTGCTATGAAAATTTCCAAACTAGGCTTACCAAATATTAAGCTTGGTGAGAGAGAAAACTTCTAAGTGGGCGACACTTATTCCTTTTTATTGAGGCGACTGTCAATCAGATATGTCAGGAAACTGTGTAATTTTGAGTAACTGACGTAGGGATCGGTAGTTTGGTGAAATACCAACTGCGTTACCTTTTCGCACACTACAGTACTGTTTTCCAGTAGTAGTAGTATTTTCACTTGTTTGCTCTCTGTTTTCACTGACCGTACTGACGCCTTTTGAAAACATGTATACAGATCCTGATCAGCCTAAATTTCATTATTGGTTTTTAGGAGTTAAAAGGGAAATTTAAAATCATTGATTTATGTAGAGAGGATGTTAACACTCCATTGTGTGTGCCGAGGACTTACGCAGGGAGGGGGAGGGGGTGTTGATAATGAGCCTAGAAGAGCGCGGGTGGTGGTGGCGGTGAACTGATTTGGCTGAGGAGGGAGAGATGCAATGGCTTAGATTTGTACGACTCGCAAAGTATATTTGAATTGAAGTAACGTTGGGGGTGCTAGAAAATCATTAATTCTTCAAGTATAGACATAGAAGGGGCTTTTAAACAATTGGATATACCAGGGTATGATACAACTTCGTGAGAACGGGCTACCTCTGCTCCCTATTATTGGACAGTTGATTCAGTGACCCACTCAACATCAACAAAATTTAAACTGGGAGATTACAGTTGATTTTTAGGATTTTTAGGATTTCGAGCGCCAAAACTAAATTAATATGCTGCTAATTAGTATGTAATAGTAGTGGTTGTTCGGCATATTGTAGTGGAACTATGAACTATTTAGTTTCAGTAATGCAAATACCATCATATTATTCACGTAAATAACCATTGAAGTCGCCAATGTTATACATTTTCAGAAATATATTAATTTAGTTTTGAATTCTCTTGGTTTGTGCTCGCCACCCTTAGGTTTGTCAAAATAGAATGGGCTACAAGTGCAGCCGGTTGTTGAACAATCGCTCCGGCATGTCCAGCATTTGATCTTAAGCTGTGGTTCGCATTTGAGGTTAGAAAAAAAATGAATTGTAAACTGACGATTTTCTTTTGACACTAAAAAATCGAATCTACCGCGTACGACCCTAGAAACTAACTAAAAAAATATTCGTGAAATCTGCGAACATGTACTGTTTAGATGATACTAAAATCGCCGATAGATGGATAGCATGGATTTCCCTAATTCAGACGTTTCAATAAATAGCGCGATTACAATGCTTTTCTCGCTTATGCATTAAAATTAATCAGTTCGACTATTCTCAGCTAATTTAATCCGTTTCTCATGTAATTTTTTAACGTTAACTGATACTAAGACTTGATGCTCTTGATGGTAATTACTGAAACAACACTAAACGGGAAGCGAATGATGATGATTCAAAAGCCAGAGGCATACCGACGATGACAGGGCACGCGGACGATCAGAACTGGTTGCCAATCTCAAGATACACACAGGGTGTTCATTTGAAAACCAGTGATTAAAACAAAAAACGCCGAGACACGTCAAAAGATTTGTCAAGGGGGACACGTTTTAACCAGAAACTACTTCACCCCCTTTCACCCTCTGCCCCCAGGTCGCCCCCTTAAACATTTTAAATGACAACGGGTAGCGAGTAACAGCTTGTTTGAAAGGTTTTTATTTTGACCTTTGATTTTTTGAAATCGGTCAATTCGTTTTCAAGAAAATTAGATAGTGAACAAACACAAGAAAATATCACTTTTTGTTTCAATAAGTGTTTAAAATGTTGCCCGTGATTGGCCAAACAATGATATAGGCGATGTTCATATTCCTGACGGACATTTTCAAAAACATGTTGTGGGATATCATGGCAGCTTTCGATGGTGCGTTGACGAAGTACATCCAAACTTTCAGATTGGGTAGTAAACACAATATATTTCAAATGGCCCCATAGAAAAAAGTCTAATCGCATCAGGTCAGGAGATCAAGCAGGCCATTCTATAGGCCCTCTTCGCCCTATCCATTTATCTGGAAACTCGTCGTCTAGCCCTTGCCGAACCGGAAGAACATAGTGTCTTGCTGGAAATATATTTACATCCTCTTTGATTTGGTTTTCAATGGTTTCATTGATAAGCGGAACGATGGTATTTTACAACATCCAAAATTTCCATTAATAAACAATGGCCCAATCACTTTGCTTCCTAAAATTCCTGCCCATAGATTAATTTTATGCCCTTCTATAAAAGCATGAGGACTTTTATTTCTCCAATACCTGCAGTTATGCTTATTAACAAATCCATTTAGATAAAATGTGCATTCATCACTGAAGCAGATATTCTTTACATGAATGGTATTATCATTAATCGCTGCAGTTATTTGTTCACAAAACTCATCTCGCCTATCTAAAGCATCTTCGGTTAACTCTTGCAATATTTTCATTTTGAATGAATGAACTTTATGAAGTTTAGTAACCGTGTGTACAGAGCCTAATGAAGTACCAGTCGCTGCAACAATTTTGCGTAATGAAGTATTAGGATTTATTCCAAAATTACCCAAAACATCAACTTGAGCGGCTTCATCCATAACTCGCCGATGATCACGTTTTTTTTATTCGCAACAGATTCAGTTTGAGTAAATTTAGTAACAAGGTCCGAAACATACCTATGCTGTCGTTAAACATGACGGCAGTTTGCCGAGCACATTGATTTTGGGCACCATAAATTAAAATCATATCCACTCTTTCGGCTTGTGTGTAAACCATTTTGGAAGTAAGATCTAAATCAATAAATTAATTTTCACTATTGACTATCACAAAGGTAACTGACAGCAAATTAAATTCTTTCTTTCCCTTGGTAACAAATAACTTAACAGGTATAAGAATAAATACAGTTCGCAAATGCGAAAAAAAAATCGGGTTGTTATTTGGTTGTTGCAACAATTGCTGTTTATGTTGGTAGTTTCCGTTTTACGTAAATTATAAACAAATTGTAGATTTGAAAAACCCTAACGGGCAACATTTTGTACGCTTATCGAAATAAGAAATGATTCGTGTTTCGTGTATTTTTGTTTTCTATCTGAACAAATTAAGATAAATAAGGATTTTTCTAATTTTCTCGAAAACAAGTCGACTGATTTTAAAAAATCAAACGTCAAAATAAAGGACTTTGAAACACCTTTTAATCAAGCTATTACTTGATACCCATTGTCATTTCAAATTGCTAAGGGGATGACGCTGGGGCTCGAGGGTGAAAGGGGGTTAAGTAGTTTTTGGTTAAAAAGTTGTCCCCATTCACAAATCTTTTGACGTGTTTTAGAGTTTTTTCTTTTAATCAGCGGTTTTCGATAAATCCATGGTGGGAAATTTCCAAATGAACACTCTGTATATTTGTTTGTGATGTACACATTCATTTTATACTCGAGTGGCCTGGGGGCAATAAACACCTTTATCACCCCTTGAGGGTACCAATGGTCGATAAATAACTGTTAACCTTGATCATCTGTATTCCCTTTTGTTGGCTTTTTAGTACGTGCTGGTGTTTCTGATTCTCCACAAACTTTTTGAATTGTTCCTCAAAAAGCATTATTCTCTTTGAATTCGCAGTTAATGGATACTTTTCCATCATTTCTTGTTTCCCTGTCTTTACAATATCTTTCTCACTATACTGAGTTTCGGCTTGTCTACGTCTCAAGTTCCTTTTACCCCTGATATAGACTTCATATTCTTCGGAGGCCACAAATTCATCTATAAATCTGAAATCATTCAATCAGAAAGATTAGTCGAAATAAGGTTGATTATACTTCCCAGAACATAGCGTTCACATAGATCAATTTATTTAACGTTGAACTGATTAGTAATGGAAATTAAAAAAAAAATATATAAAAACAGAGTTCATAAACCTGAATAGCTCTTCATTTCTCCGGACTTGCTCTTCCGTATGGTATTCAGCAAATTCTTGGAAAATGCCTGTGCTCTCGGGATGTTCATAATACTTTTCTAAATATGATTCATACATTTTGAAATGCAGCTGTAACTTTCCATACGATTAGACACTGACACTTCTGCATGTCATTTTGTTGTCTGCTAAAGGTACGTATCCATTGGGCCGACATTAACGCGTCAGAATGTTTGCACGCAACGGACAATTTCGTATTGCTGGAATCACTCAACGACACGACACGCGCAATGGCCTTGCTACAAAATGCAAGTCAGTTCCCCATCATGCTTTGTTGGTTGCCCAATGCCGAGATAGTCTAAAGAAGCCGCAAAAAAGGAATGACGCATCAGATACAATACATTTTCGCACTGGCTCACATCTAGGCGCTGACTTGTATTTTCTAGTTAACATTGTAAAATAAATTTCGATAAAATCAACCAGTGATTTTCCTGTCTTATCGCTCTCTTTTTTGAAATTCAGTAAGTTTGCATACATGATTTCCAGGTTCAATAAGAAAAAGGGAATGCGCAACTAATTTAAATGTTACATCGCTTGCAAGCATTGCATATATTTCAAGTAGGTGTATTTGAGACAAGGAACCAATGGAATTATCATCAAATCCTCGCTATGCACCTATGTACTGCCGTTTCCTTCCATCTTACAACTTAGGCCTCCAATAATGCCATCTCTGAAGCAGACGGTAAATCACATCAGAGCCAAACATTGATGGCTGGAGCATCATGACGTTTAGGCAACACGTACAACTGCGGAACGAATACACACAATACAATAACTAGTGCTAAGTTGACATCTTGTAAGAAAAACCTACATAATGTCACAAAAAAGCTATACACTCGTAAAGTAAAAAAATCGACATAATGTCACTTTTCAAGATGCGTATCTAATACCCCTGTCGGACAGTTCGGGCTCGCGGGTCTGCATCGCACGCGTCACACATTCGCACTAAACGAATTTTATTTTACGTATAATTGAATGCGTCATTTCGAAAGCCATCTGAGCCACCTTTTTTCGATTTGATTTTTGTTGATGGCAATGCTTCCTTAAATGTAGATGCTTATTTATCCTCGTGAGACAAAATATTCCTATGTCAAGTGACTTGTGATTTTGTTCCATGCACTTAATGGCGGGTAGTTGAGTGGATCATTTCACAATCACTACTAGGATCTTTGATTTGTTTCCTTTTAATATTTGTGAGCCATGTAGTACAAAATCAATTTGAAATTCACTAACTACAAAAAACAAATTACGGGCAAATATACTCCTAGTATCCACTTTACCCGAAATCACTTATTTTAGAGTTTTCTCGTTTGCTAGTGAAACCTCAATCCACATCATTTGTATGACTGAAAATATAGGCTAGATATTTGAAAAAGCTGTTCGTATAGATAGTAAAAATGGAATTAAACCACACCTATCTTGAAAAATATTTTTTTTTATTTAAAAAAAAAGCATTTAGCTGTGTGCTTGTCAAATAAGCACGTCCTACAACCCATTTAATTGCCAATTATTGAAGAATGTTGAATGAATTTTCAGGAGAGCCGATTGTTGATTTATTTAGGCTGTCCAAGATAAGGATCCTGTGCATGGGGATCTGAATAGCTGTAGGAGATGCAACTTAAAATAAATTTGGAAAAGGCAGCATTCTTTTGAGCGTATTTACATGCCATGGCTTACTGTAGTTGGGAAAAACTAAAATTTGGCCAAATCGTTTTTATTGCTTTCGGACTTTATTTTGAGAACTACCAAAAAATAATGGAGCTTTCATTGGCACCTTTTAGGCACTACAAGAGGCTGTTTTTAAATTTTGTGCCTGACGTTTCGTTTTTGAGAAACCATCTACAACTTTATTTTGTATAACGTACAAAAAGTGTCTGATAGTAACTTGTTCTACGAATTCAACGATGTATCATATATATATATATATATATATATATATATATATATAGAGAGAGAGAATATGATCATGCGGAGAAAAGTATATAACAACAAGTAGGAAAATAATGGGCAAAATCCGCAAAAAGGAGGAAAGTGGATTCGAGCAGAAAATAGGATAGGTAACCCGAGCGATACGTATTTCTGCTGGTTGGCTTCATCAGGCCCGAAATGAATGCACATACGAAACTACAAATGTAGATACACATGCCCACACATCCGGATACGGGTGTAACCTGAGGAAACAAAGTTGGAGGGGAAAAAAAGACACACGAAGTCCACAACAAGAGCCAACCTACACATTGTAGTATAAAATGGCTATACGACCTCGAATTTTCAAGGAGACGTCTAACCACCACCACGCGGCCGGTTATAGCCACTTGCTGTGGTACTTCAAGCCCAAAGGATCTACAAAGAGAATATGATCATGCGGAGAAAAGTATATAACAACAAGTAGGAAAATAATGGGCAAAATCCGCAAAAAGGAGGAAAGTGGATTCGAGCAGAAAATAGGATAGGTAACCCGAGCGATACGTATTTCTGCTGGTTGGCTTCATCAGGCCCGAAATGAATGCACATATGAAACTACAAAAGTAGATACACATGCCCACACATCCGGATACGGGTGTAACCTGAGGAAACGACGTTGGAGGGGAAAAAAGAGACACATGAAGTCCACAACAAGAGCCAACCTACACATTGTAGTATAAAATGGCTATACGACCTCGAATTTTCAAGGAGACGTGTAACCACCACCACGCGGCCGGTTATAGCCACTTGCTGTGGTACTTCAGATGATGTGATTTTCAGAATGTTATGTAAGAAATTGATTTGGCAACGTTTTGGCACACGCCCACAATTCGTTCCATCTTTCAACACGGACATTGACAACCTTCGGCCTTCTGTCAAAGGTTCATCTCACTCATTATTCCATGACCACCATTTTGTGCAATCATCAAGTGGCTTCACGACGAAATGCTCTAATGTTTTCTAAATAATTTTTAATCTGTCTTTAACTTGTCTTGTCATATTTTATATAATTTTAACCATTGTACCATGTATCCAGCTCTCACCATGTTACTGGACGTTTCCCTTATCCTATACGAAAACAACAATTAGCAACATCCTCACATACTACTGTAAGTTAATTCAATTTAAATTCATTTTACACTTTTGTTACTACTGTTATCATTGTAATTGCAGCTCCTGATGATGATGGCAAAGTCCATTGAAAGCTAGAGAGAATTAAAAAAAAAGTATAAAGAGTCCTCTTTGCTTAAATTTTGTCGAAGTACCCAACAAAAGGCGGAAGCTTTAATTTTTCACCTAACTGGTTTAGACGACAATGACCACGTCTCAAGTTATATATATATATATATATATATATATTCTTATATATAGAGAAAATGTTTTTTATTTTTTCATTTTATTTAAGTAGAAGTTGCAAGGAAATGTTTGATGTAAGATTATGTGATTACTGATATATGCGAATTAGATAATGGTATACAATGATGCTTAATCTAGTGATATTCAGAATAACCACAGTAACAGTATTTCTATTTTATTCACAATAGGTTGCCATTATTTTCTACATAATACAATATGATCTTCAGTATTATTAAAATGCTTCCATTTCACATTCTCGTAACAGAGTAGTATTTTTGTACCACAAAATGTAGAACGTCAGGATGACGAACTTATCTTCATTGCTAAAATGATCGCTTGGCATCTTTGACGATAATAAAGCAATATTAACAATACACAATAATAACAATACTCCCTGAGATGTATTTACGTCAAGTCAAGCAACGCCTACTTAAAAAAAAACAGAAAAAATCGCATTTTTCATTATAACTAAGTAAATCAATGTAACATGTATTTCACCAATTCGTATAAAAATGCTATTATATACAGGGTGTACTTTTTTCGGACCATATAAGAAGTAAAGTTGATGATGGTTTCTCAAAAACGAACCGTCGGTACAAAATTTAAAAACACCATCATGTGTACCTGAAAGAAAAGTTTAATCAGTTTTTTGATATTTTTAAGTAAAAAAATGATTTGGCCAAATTTTAGTTTTTCCCAAATATCTCAGTAAGCCATTAAAGTTTTATAAGTTTCTCAACGACATCTAAATAATTTAACCTAAGCTGTATCTCCTACAAGTATCGAGATCCCCATGCATAGGATCCTTATCTTGTACAACCTGTATACTTTAATAAGGATATTAAAATAAAAAAATGGAAGATTTGACATATTCCCAAGCCAATATTTAGGTGTGATTTTCAATAATAGCATACACGTATGGTTCTTTTGCTTAAGTTATATGCCACTAACAATATTTTTGCTAAAGCAACCTAAGTCCTGAACATTCTTGTGGGCTTTTGCCATTATGATTATTAACAAATAACAAACTGTGATGGTTATTCCACATTTCAATCTCGTAAGACTCAACAGTGTATTAAGTCCAAAAAATATTTAAAACTGGTTTATTTGTCAATGCCACAATTTTTGTTGTCCATTGAAAAATTTCAATTGTGTGGTTTAGGGGCCATTGAAGTATTACGTAAGCAGATTTATTAACCCTTTCTCCTTGCCAGCAAACGAAAAAAAATCTCTAACCTCCCTTTCGTGCTTACGTAAACATTTTGATACATTTTCGATTTGAAGTAAGTACTGGCTTTCACACACATGTTCTGGGTACCATTTAATATCTGGTTAATCAGGACGATCTTGCTTTCCCGACCTAACATACTAACATTCCAGTGAACTCCATACCTGTGCTAATACATTTCCGACAAACTCGAAATTGGATTTTTCTAAATGTTCATTAATTGTAACGCCACGTTCATCCAAATGAAAATGGTCATAAGAGTATCAAACCAGCCAGTTTCCGACTAAGAGGAATCATTCTGGGTTATACGCGTTTCTACCAGGAGCAGGAGCAAGCGAGTAAGCATATCCATATTTGAGGAACCCCTGAAGATTCGTTTCAGCATAGACTTGCTTGCCATATGAGTTCAAAACAAAATCTCATCAATTTTGTAGAAAATAGCTGACTGGTCCCTTTTGAGGGATTTGAAGTAACTGATTCAATTCATTGAATGTTAGTGCGTCCACTGATCTGCACCACATTGCACCCATCCCACTATCGACAAATCGAGTAGGATTCAAGAAATTGAAGCGATGCGTGCTCGTGACGTCATGCATTTTCTGAAGTAGTTTCAGGATATCAAAGCACAAACCAATAATGTT